CTGATTCCGCATTCATCATAATCATTAAAATTTCTTGCTCTCATGTGGGCCCAAAACTCAGAAAACACTGCCGTTAGTACTGGCGCCACTATTTGGATGACGTACCTTTTACGATGTTGAGCTCTCAGATTATACACTATCGCACATTATACTCGGACATGGTTGTAATCCGAGTGAAGTAGGAGTTGTTGGATCGAGTGCTTTTGATGCATGCCAAGGATTCGAAAATCAAAAAAAAAACCCCAAAAAGCCTTCATTCATTTGCAACTCTCGAGCGGATTTACTAAGTATGGACATCTAGTAATCGCTGAAAAAAGCTCAAGTCGAAATGCAACATCATCTTTCTTTTCCTCTCCATATGATGCATCCAGTCAGCACCACCAAATAGATAAATAGACTAGAAATGGATATATGGAAGAAGGAAGGATGCATCATGTGGAAGAGAGAGGCGAGAGAGCGATAGAGGAAAAGCGCTATGTGTTACGACAAAGTCATCATCCATTTGCCATTATGTGGCAATGTAAGTTCTCTTGTGAAGAATAAGTCAATGATTCTCTAAAACTTCTCATTTTACATAGATCCTCTCAAAAAAGATGTTAATTCTGAAGAAAATGTTTGAATTACCATCGCCGACGCAAAAACACTTCTGCGAATTACAATGTAAGAACAGAAGATAAAGTAACAACGGTAAAGGCTGAAAAACACCCACGCAGGATCACCCAAAATCTCAAAAAGCAAATAAAGACAGAATAATGCTCCCTTCATTCATTCTCTCACTAAGTCTCATCAGATTTAGGATTGGAGAGTGGATGTTACTTACTTCTTTCAGCTCGAGAAGCATTCAATCGTATACGATTGCATTCTCTTTTGAAGGCTTGTACCTTTCAACATTCTTACTCCATTCTACAGGATCTACAAGCCTTATATCAAAACAGCTTCTCGCCCACACAACTCTTGACAGTTCAACAAGACTCATATTTCATGGCTTGTAGTCAAGCAGAATCGTACATTTTCTTTTATTCGAAAAAGTCTTTGTGTGTTAGCAACCTCAAAATAAAGAAAATTCTCCAGCTAAACGAAGGGACATCGATAATCGGATAAAACTTTAAGAAATAACAAGTTTTATACAATGTCCGGAAAATCGCTAAAGCTGCATGCATGCATGTTAAATTAATTCCCTTCTCTTGTGATTTACCTTCCCATATTAGGCTTACACAGCGGATTGCAAGAAATTCCATATTATCCTGCCTTTACCCATTCTCACGATGCTTTCTTCCTCTTTAGTTTTGTTCAGCGATTCTCTCAACATAGCTGACTCGCTTTATATAACATATATATTTCACGATTCCCTTTTTAATCCAAAAGGTTTGAGAAAGAAGAGACGACAGGATCTTTCCCGTGACGTCAAGACGACTTGGCAATTACATGAAAATATCAATAAAAATGGACATGTGCTTAACAAACGTAACAATCCCTTTCATAGAAGTAAGCATTCCTTACATAGGGACAAGAGCTCGAAGAACTCATCGATTCGAAGCATACCATATATGGAGAGGATGAAGAGAGACCGAGCTTTCCAGTATTAGATTCTAGTATCTTCACTCTATATTTCTCTCGACACACATTGCAAAGCCAATTTGTTCATTCTTTCTTTATATCGGCTTTTCTCCATCTAGTAGCTTCTTCAGAAAGGAAAAATATATTCAAATAACAACAGAGACGAAATCAAAGTATTAAATACTTCTTTCAATTTCTCTAAGTGTTCAGCCCTCTCAACCGAACCACAAAGTGTTTTACTTCAAGATTCTACCACAGTTTTTTCTTCTCTCTGATCACTTCATTTCTGAACCACTCCTCCTATTATCTGTTCCTCCCTCAACTTTTTGCAGCTGCTGCGAAGTGCCAGAAGCGTCCCACAAACTTGTTGAGATATGAAGGCCTTCTTTCGAAGATCATGGTGTAGACGTACATCTACCTCTGAGCATAGGTTTCTATCAATTGCCAAGGCAAGACGTACTCAAATAATTAACACAGTGTTCATAGAATAAAAATGCTAGCACTTCAAAACAGCGAATCAATAAGTTCAACTAATGAAATCTTCGAGCTCCCAAGGGAATCTACACTTATCGGATTGTTTGTAAACTCCCTAAATCTGAAATATCGCCATAAAATCGATATTCCACAAAGGTTTTCACACAGCATAAGCTAAGATTATTGGGCAGAAATATTCCTTGGAGAATAGCAGAAAGCATATTGCTAACTAAAGCTGAAGAGGAACAATTCATACAGAAAAATTCGTTAGGAAACATTTGAGTCTCCTCACTTCATCTATCTATCCATCGGCACGGACATCATACGAATCAAACTCTAATTGCCAGCTATTTCCCTCCTATCTTCTCGCGACCATCCTCCACCCCTTCATCATTACACAAAATGACGAAAAGGCATTATATGGCCGGAAACTAAACAATATATACATGATAGAAAATTCGTCTCGGATGACAATCAACAATTCCAAACACATTGAATGTAACACTGAAGGACAGCAAGAATGACTTGTACACTTCGATTATGCTAACAATTCCGGAAGATGAAGTCCAGATAACAGCCAACTTTTCATTTCTCAGCTGAATTTGTATGAATCGCATTTAAGCGTTCAGACTTCCTCGTTGGATCTTCCAGATTGAGCATCAAAGAAGGAACTAAATGAATACCAAATGGGAATAAATTCAACCATATCGTGTAGTTGTTGTGATACTTGAAATGGAGAGGGGGGGGAATCACAAATCAGAACAATTCTGATATTCTCTACTACTACATTCGCCATTCGTTTATCTCGAATGTTTTGTCTCACACTCTTCCTTACGTTTTCCCTCGCCTCCTTCCCATTTTCTGTCTCCTAACATCAAGAAATCATTAGTAGATTCGCAAACAAACATGTCAACAAGTTAACTTAGCCACTATACTACTACTAGCGCTCCTCCGAACATCAAAGCTTAATTTCCTTCATTGCAACACCTCAGTTCAATCACATACAGTAGCCCGAATATATGAAAACATTAACAAACGAACCTGGCTATAGACGAGATGTCATTCAGCTTATTGTCCAAAATAATTAATAAAGGTCTTGATTGCTCTACAGTATTCAAAGCTGTGCTACTTGTCGCGACGCTAATACTCCATCCAGAATTTTTCAAACGGTCGAGAAATACACCGTCATCCCCGCTCTCCGAGACTAAGACCGCCTGAAAAAAAATCTTTGAGCCTCGATTTAATGGGGTTTTTTTCTTGAATGTCTGAATTCGAATAATTATTCTAATTTTCAAATATAATATTTCTTATGAAGTTAATTGCTCTCTTAATGACTGTGCATCTCTTTCCGACATGCTATTGCAGCCGCAGCAGCTGAGACCTCAAAGATAAAGCCAAAGCTGTATTGTTGGGAAGCACATAAGCTTAAAACATTCAGCTGCTATGGTTTAGTGGCCTTCTTCGCAGTTGTCCTGGAAGAAGAAGAGAAAAGAGAAAACGAATGAGCTCTGTTACGTCATGCAGTTTGCAGCTTCACCGTTGTCACAATCACGATTACTACCTCTAGGCACAAGGCATCATCATCGCCACATGTGTTTTTCAATGATGAGGTTATAGCGCGAGGGATATTGGTGGAAAAAAAGAATTATAAAATGTACGATGGGAGTGGATGAGAGAAAAGACGACCAACACCGATGGAAAAGATACTAATTAGGTGAAAAACTTCTAACTCTCCTTTCAATCAGAACATGTACTCATCCTAAATACCCAACAAACAATTATTGGTGCCTCTCGTGGCTCTCCCACCACAATCCTGCTCAACTACATGGATTTGTAATAATTTGCATAAAAAGAATCCATTGTTAAAATAATATTTCCAATGCATGATAATTACATTTAACAATAATTTCCAGTCGAGTAGTCAAAGGACATTCCCACCCATTATAGATATTGAATGATAAGACACATACACACTGATGAAATTGAAGTTTTCAATCCAAAATGGTGCGATGTACGAAAACTTCGTTGTGACGTTATCAATCGTCCTGTCTTCCCTCAATATCATCACGCTTAGTCATTTTAAACTATTCGTTCGTTGTTTTTTCTCAGGCTCATTTTCATGAACGCTCACTTCGTATTCTTTCCCGTGTCATCGAATCAAAGTGACAAGGCTACATGTCTAAGCATTATTGCCGAAAAGTCTATGCGGCCATGCGGGCTGAACGAGATTGAACGAATATATATGTATATACTATATATGGCTATGTCAGCATACATAGATACATACACAAATATGGCTTCGCAGACAAAACAACAACGAAAAATGATGAAAGAAGTACAAGAGAAGAACAAATTGTAGGAGAATTAAAAAAAGAATACGCGCATGGGAATGATGATGACTTAGAAGAAAAAAAGAAAAGAAAAAAAGACGAGGAAGAAGTATAAGAACAAAAGAAGGGAAAAGAAAATTGAAAAAGGTGACGAAGTTGACGACAACTATGACGGAAAAGAAGACGACGAAGCATCTTTGAGAAGAAGACTTCATCACACATGACATGATGAAAGCGAGGAGGATAGAATACGACTACAGCGAAACCTTCAACGACTTCCAAACAGAAAACGACACGTTTTTCGTCGGATTGAACAAGGTAAAGAAGAATCATAATGATACGTTTCATCATTTTGGAGAGAAGACACAAGACTAGGAAAACACTATTAATACGCATAAATCTATCTGGAGAATTAGGGAATTCGCATCCAGACAATCAAGAAAGAACAGACCATTCAGTATACTGACCGTTTTTTGGAGTCGAATATGCATCGGTCCGTAGTGATCTATCGGATCAGGAGTCTCCAGGAGCGGGGTGGCGGGCCCCGCCGCTCCACAGCACCACCGCATTCCGACTATCGATTCAGCTAGCTGTCTGTCGACGCTCTCTCGGCTTGCTCTGGCTTCTCTGGGCTCTACGATGCGTGTATGCTGTCTCGCCGATTGTCGGCTACTCCTCTTCGTCCTGCTGCCATTACTACTATTCCTGGTACTACTGACTCCGGTTTCCGGAGCGAAGTTTCAGGTTAGAGTATGGCAACCAAATATTGATACGTCAAAAATTACGGAACCATTCCGGTTTTGGGAATTAGTAGAATGGCGAAGATTACCTGCAGACAACAGCGAGGTCACTGATACCAAGAACCTGCCGTCTACATCAACACCAGAAATTCCAAGTTCTACAAGCAGTACTACAACATCTACAACACCCAGTACTACCACCACATTCACCACTACCACTACGACCATCCCTACAACTACAACTACCACTACTACAACCACCACAACTATCCCTCCTACAACCATAACAACAACAGAGCCGAGTACCGTGAGCTGGGAACTTCCTCCAACACCTCCACCATGTGAAGAATCTGATCCCCAGGTAAATTTCAAGGCATCTCACCGTTATGTGTTAACACACGGTTGCGACAAGAGCAATGATCACCTATTGATTTCAGATTTTGATAAAACGAATGAAAGATTCTGGAATCTATAATGAAATATATATGGCTCCTGATTTCACTGCAGCCAGCCGTAATTTCCCGAATCTTGGAGGAAGACAATTCATGAGACCCAAACCCCACTACACGTGCGATGAACATTGCCAGCGGTAATTGCTTTTCATTTCGTTTAAGATCAAAAAGATTGGAAAAGCTGTTTTACCAGCTTATATTTAAGCCTCTAGAACGATCTGTGAAATTTCGCATGAGTATTTCTTGAAATGAATAAGACAAATGAATGCCCGTAGAAAGAAATGAATTGTATTGATTCAGATCTTCTAAGTTAGTACGATTGGTAATGAATGGCGAAGAAGCAAAAGAAATGCCAGAGGATCCACCACGTACATGGTGGGACCCTAGCAAATGGGAGAATGATCAACGATCAAAAAGGTGTCTACCATCAAAATCACAATGAATTAAGGAAATTTTCTTTAGAAACATCAAGCCATCCGAGGTAGCAGCTAGGAAGCTTGAACTCGAAAAAACTATAAAGCGTGCACTCAAGGAACTTCAAGATCTCAAAGCTGATGAGTTAGAGAGCAATAGGGAACCAAATTTTATGTAAAGCATTGCCAGTTGTCTTTTTCGAAATCAAAACTTGCAGGGAAGATTTTGATGACTTTTTCGAGGAGTTGCCGGAACATTCAGAAAGACATACTCGTTCAACCAACGCGGATAAAAATATTTTAGAAAGAAATTCAGGATTCTCTAGAGATGTGCTTGGTTTGCACTCTTTCCGAATATCGAAATTGATGTACAACTTTTAGGAACAACTATAGCCATTGACTGTCATGAAAATAGTCATGGATTTCAGAAATCAGGGTATGTTTTTTGCTTTAAAAACACTCGTAACGGCATACCAAAACAATCCTTCTCTCACCAAACTGACAATATTAACTGTGCGTTCTAGTTTACACGTGATTTATAAGGTTTTGTTCGATTAACTCAAGAGCGAATGTCAATGTCGTTACGACCTGTTTGCCCCATCTTTCACAGAAAGAAACAAACAGACATTCAGCTTTAGAGAAATAGTCTATTCAATTAGAAATACCAAGCATGAACAAAAAAAAAGAAAAGAAATCGAGCGAGATAAATAGATGTAGAACGTGAAAGAAAGTCAAGTGATCACACCTATGATACATGAATATGCCTGACCTGACTTTGATAGATATCGAAACAAACTTACAGGTATCATTTCTGTTCGACTTGCCGTGCTATTCGTCATCTTCCGCGAAATTATTTTCCTCGGATCCTTAACGAAGTTGTTTGTAGCCATAACACATGCGTGCGAGGTGACGGCCGTTGTGCTCAACGTTTCTTGCAGTTTAAGGTACTGTTCTCACCTATAACAAAGACATAATTTTCATTATCAGGTTCTAAGAAATGAGGGAACAGAACAGTGTCCAAAGTGGAATCTTATCTCTCTAGAACTACGAACATGTTGTGATTGTGTTGTTCATCCCATGTCGCCTTTTGTGCGATACCTCCAGACCACCTAAGATTCTTAAAAAAAACACTTTCCTTTGCTCAAAAATTCACGAACCACAGGTGTTCTTCTAATTCACTTCGCATAATTAATTCTCTGATTGTCATTAATGAACTATTAAGCCATAGTGTAAACGAAAGACGAACACTTAAAAGAATTACAACCAATGTAAGGTACAGAAGTATAAAAACATAACGAATGTTTCTTTGAATTACGATAGAACACTTTGAAGAATTTTTATTTCTGAAAGAAAAAAAGAATTATACAAACTCATTAACGTGAACTTGGGATCACAAAGTGGAATTCAAAAACTATTACAGTCAAAGTGTATTTTTGAATTTCTCTCCGGCACGGTACAGAATAATTTTAGTATTATATCTGCAAAGATTGTTGAAGAATCACTCCAGATGAACTTACTCCTCGTTATAAATGGTTAGTGTTTTCGGATAATCTCCAGCTTGAAAAGTATTCAGTTCAGTTTTTGGATAAATTAGGCTCATCTGGTGTTGAACCCTATAAGTGAAAAAATCGAAAGCGCTTTGCATGTCACAGATCTCACTTCTTCAAATCAGTTACCGGCTGATACAATTTGATTGTATCTCCACTCTCAAGCGTATTGCGAGATCTAAATATTAATTAATCAATTTCTTTTAAATTGTATATTGCAACTAAAAAAATGCATGATCACCGGCCATTTGATAACAACAAAAGAACAACCGCTCTACGCGCCAAACAATTATTGAATGATTCATATGCATTTTCCAACAAACGCGCACAGAAATCTTCTCAGAAATCAAATTGAGAACTAACCTCAGAAATGCATTGATGAGTGGATCGTAGGATGTTCCTTTGAAACAAACAACTTTAACATTCGGGAAAATCATTTTGAGACTCTGTAAAGCTTTGTTATCTTGAGCACATGATAGGATCTACTTTTACAAAGCGTATCTCATCATCGATCACACCCAAACATTGACCATCAAACTCGAAACTGGAGATGTTTGGGAATATGCATATGTTCCTGCCGTTCACGATTTGGATCTAAACTACCTTTCTTGAATTATGAAGTTTTCAAAAAACCTTCGAAAATGTAAGATGACTGATAGAAACACATCCAGTGATTATTTTGGCAAATTCTCCGGTCACAGTAACATATTCATATATTCTTAAGCATCTATAATAATCATATGAAAAAATCTAGCTTTCCCTCATGAACTCAACCGCAAAGATCGCGCATTGGCTCTAAACCAAAAATATAGCAAATCATTAATTCCACTAGCTTCATCTGTCTCATTCTATCATTACATAAGTTTGTATGAAAGGTTTTATCTCTCACTAAATCCGGAGTCACTCGAATGTTTTGTTCCAGATCTCTTGGTTTACCGATATTTATTTCAACGAAACTGAAAAAAAAATAAATTGTATCCTCATCAAGTTAGAACCAAACCTATGTGAGAGAGATGAGAGAGTATTAGCTAAAACTGACGCGAATTCATAAGTATTCATGATCAAAACACATTTTAGAAGAGTCTCTCTTTTCTTGAACCGAATGGCGTTATAGAAACTGTTTAAGGCCATCTAGTAAACTTATGTCATTCAAATGATAACATTCTCTTACATCATATTTCCTTACATTCTCTTCACAGCAGTTTTCCATGATGATGTACGGATAAACAAATTTCGAAAAGTTTTTTTGACAGTCGAAACAGTTAACCATCTCATCCGGCAACACATTTTGATAAACTAAAAAGAGATTAGCTTTTGCACGGTGTCCACTCACTTCCAACTTGGGTAAAAACATTATCCTCTTCCACATAGAAACGCAACACCAAAGGAGCGCCAAAGTTAATTGGCAGCGAAGCGAAATCAGAGTTATCAGACTTGAACATGGAAATATCACACGGCTTCCAGCTGAAATCTGTTTTGCTGTATTTCACAAACTTAAACCTACTGTTCTTGTATTCTCGAGATGGTTTCTACTGTTCCACAGTCAAGAAAATGAATCAAATCATCACTAGACTCAGATTCTGGACTGCTTGCGTACTGTTTCTGAATTTTTCTATTATCTGGTACTGAGCGAATCGAGTCAGTTGCACAATCGGAATAGAAACTTGCTTCCATTGTTAGAGCAGTTCGCTTAGCCATCTTTTATGAGCTTTCGAAACTGATTATGACTCGAGCACAGAATTATAATTATGTCACATGTGCAGCTCCTGTAAGCTGAAGGCAGAGATACAAACTTTGAAAAAAATAATTTATTCTTTGGTTGAAGCTTGCTTAAGAATATTATTCGTAAGTATTTACACTTATTACAGGGATAACAATGATATTATTAATATTTCAAAATGGTTTATCTTCTTTCATCATAGTTCGAAATTCCTTCCCTCCTAGACTTCAAGGAAGGCTGTCCAATTGATACCTATTAGCCACTTAGCATATCTTAACCACAAAGAACACTTTTCCTGAAAGAATGGATATTTTTGGAAGGTCAATCAGACTAACCTCTGTATATGTCGGAGCACCGGTAAACCTAGGAATGCCGGAGTCTAACCGTTCTCTAAGTTGTAAGAAGCAGCTTTTATATGAAACTGTATGAGGACGACCTAACAATGTTTGTTGCAATACAAAAGTTAAAGGTCTATTACCTTTTCTTTCAATCAATGTCATCCTCATGCTCGGATTAATGAAGGAAACATCATACTTCTAAGAAAATATAAGTATAAGTTAAACATAGAAAAATACGCTTACCTTCTCTGATACGTCAGGTAAGCTGTCATCATTCTCTATAGAAACAGTAGCAGAAATTAGAAGAAACTGAATATACAACTAACCGACATCTGCTATGTCACCTTTGGTGGTGAAGTAGCTACCATCCTTATGAACAACAAGAATATTGTTGACAACGTTCTTAGGTCTCCATGAAAAGTAGCTTTCAAGAATTTGTAAGTATTCGATGATGAAATTGACTTTGATCCTCAGCAAAGTATCTTCCGCTGTGTTACGTAAATCCGATACGTCTCCAACAGCCAGAGAAACCTATAATTTTCGATAAGTTTCAATTAGGTTTTCTAATAACTCAACCATCAAGTTCATCAAAAGAATAACGGTGATTATTTCAAATGCTAGTACGAGGCAAGACGGAATCCATTGCTTTGTTCCTAGAAGCAAGTTAAGGTTTGAACTGAAGTTACAAAATACCTAATATATCATTAGCATCAACTTCTCCTATCATCATAGTTGAAGTCTTTGTGATAGCCTGTAACACAACCAGGAGAGTCTGTGTAACTGTAGCATTCTTTATCTAAATGTATCATTCAGTTGCATGCTACTATGTAATCGGTATACCACTAAGCTATCCCATGGTTCTATACCACTATCTCGCATGATCAAATGGAAGGCAAATGAGAAAGCAATTAGAGTTGGAATCCAAATCGTTGCAATCTGAGAAGAAATCTTCAGCAAAGAAACCATTATTTCACCAACATGTCCAAAAGACTTCAGAATCCGCACCATCATGAACGTGTATATTCCATAAGGCGATTTTCGAAGAATATACAAGAAATTGAGCCATGCAGATAGAATAGCTACGATTGGAAGCAGCCAGAGAATTATTTTCTATAATTCGGATAGGAACTCTGCTTTTCGTCCTCGACAAACCTTCAATTCTTCATTATAGTTATCGTATGTAAACATTTCTGGTAACAGAAGATAAGCTACAGTAATGGAATAAGTAACCATATTGAATGTTAAAGCTGCTAGAAACCAGGAAGAGATGTTATTCTCCGGAAAACCTTTCTTGATGACTGCTTTAGAAACCTATAATGCAATTGGTAATGAATGACACAAAACAGCGCAAACCAAAACAGCGAAGAAGATCAGAAGCATTACCAACAGCAAAGATTTTGTAACTGCGTTCTCGCTCAATATATGGAAAGAGAGCATTAGTAAGAATACCGCAAACACTGTAAGAACAATTTGAATTCTAGAACATATGGGAAAACAACTGACTTAAGATTTGCACTGTGTACCACATAGCGCAATTTATCAATTGCTCATTCAAAAAATTCAAAATCATAGGATGCCGCATCACTCCCCATTTGTTCTCTCGCTTCTGTGAATGAAATGAAGTATTGAAGGTAGTTTTAAACTCCTACCAATTTCTGAAGGCTTCTCCAATTTATCTCTTCTCCAATCAAAAGATCACTGGCATCATCATTGGCATTTGCATTTTCTGCATGATCACTGGGATTTTCACTCTGTGAGGCTCTTCAACATTGTAAAGATTAGCTGGTCAAACTCTCAATTTCAACTTACTTTACGTCTTTCCTGTAATCGAAGAGAAATATAATTCTCTCCTCATCATCTTCATACTTCACCCTTGATCGGGAGTTTAGAAAATCTGTCGTCAAGCTGAAAAACATAAGCATCAATAGATTCGAAAACTGTTCAACAGCTTATATGGTACTCATTTGTGCAAATGAAACTATCATAACCGAATATTGTGGAAGTCAATCAAAAATAAAAACTCACTTTGAATGTTTTGAACTCATAGCTGCTTTGAGCTAGCCTGAAAAATATGTACTAAGAGAGATGACAGTCATCAGTGTAAACAAAACAAAATAAAATAGATGATGGGAATCATAAAGGATGAGGTAATTGAATGTAACAGACCAGATCGATTGAAATGGCAGTTATTACATGAAATAAACTATTCTACTGGCTTAACTTACCCTAATATTCTCAACTACTAATTCAAATCGATTCTACTGACTATTACAACACTTTACACCAAAACCTCGCAAAGTTTACAAACTTATTTAGTTAAATGTGAACTTCACAGAGACAGCAAACAATATTAGTCTCATGCACAAGTACACCAGTAGGGAAACACCATCCCCAAACTGGAAAGATAGCAGAGAAAGAGATAGAGGCAATAATAGGATCTATTCAAAAATGTTGTGGCAAAGAGAAAGTAAATATTACTATATATACAGTTGTTCTATTCTTTTCCTAGTTAAAGCATTTTCAAACACCAACATGTTATCTGACGGGTTGAGAACAAACAGCGGGCGATTCATGAAAACGCGGACAATCGCTGAGCTGCCAAAGAATTAATAGCATGATTCCTTCATTAGGAGTTGCATTAAAGCGAATATCGAGATAATTTAGTACATATTGGACACTGAACTAAGCTATGGCCAGATGGTTATTTATACATTGGCTTCTTTAATGCCAGTTGAGATCTGACAGAGAATCCGTAAAGAAGCATAACCAACCACCAATATTCCTTGACAAGAGCTTATTTGGTATCGCTTATACTCATTTAAGATGCATGAAAGAGCTTCTCTCCGGCGAAATTAATACTTATTGATTACTATTGAAACAACCTCACATACATAAAATCGGTGAATAGAAGGCCTAATGGCGAGGTAGAGTTAAAGAAAAACCAAGTATAATAATAAGGGAAATTGACACTGGCATTCGCTCCGTGTTGTTCAATTCACAATGAACGAATGAAAGAGACAAGTCTCTCAGAATATATCCCGGATGCTAATAGGATGGGCAGGCAAGCAGTCAGCTGAAAATGGAGCAATCAGCCGGATGTTGCTCAATTCTTGCCTCACATACCTAATTTACAACGACATACACACAAGCTAATTCACATGCCTCACTAATCACTATTCATTAGAGCATTCCACAAAATATTTTATTACTCGTAATAACGATTCATGATCAAACGGTACCGCATTTACAAAGTTTGATACATCATTATTATCTCGATTTTTTGATTGGAGGTCCGCGCTTTTTTTCTCCTTTTTTAGGATCTTGCGCTTTACGTTTAGCTGATGTTGGAGTGCTAGTAACCGTCTGAGAAACTTTGAAGAATGAATCGATTCTTCCCTAAAGGAAAGGATTATTTGTAATTTATGCATTTATTTGCTCGCTCACCTGAGTTCCAGCACTTCTTCCTTTCTGCATTTTGGCTAAAGCAGATCTGATTCTTTCCTCACTGAATATGTATGATTCTTGTAGTGAGAACAAGAGAATGAACTTACTTGAAGTTTCTCTCACCACACATGAATTTGACTACCCCTTCGACGTCTGGTTCCTTCCACACTAACTCAAAAAAATAACAATTAAAACAAATATAAATATGAGATAGAACCTCTATATTCTCATTGGCAGCAACTTCTGGATCAAGGAATAACTCACGAGCCCTTTTATACGGCCAATCTTCCGGTGGAGGGTACTTCTGAAATGCCATCCATTGTCAAGAGCATAAACCATCACAAACCGCCAAATCAATGTTTTCCAACACAGCTTCGATAGTTTTATAGTTTTTGATTAATTCAAAAGCTCTTTTGGGGCCCACTCCTGACAGAGGTCAGTATAAATTGAGTTTATCATAAGAAAAAACCTCGAATCGTTCCACAATAATCACAACCCAGCATAATGCACAAATCCACAAACTGCTCGTGATCCATTCCAAAATCACTATATACACGACTGAGGTTAATTTCCTAAAACGAATCGTCGTGAAGTATGAAAGTAAACTGATTCTCACTTTAATTGGCATTTTTTTGGCTTCAGAAAAAGTCATATGCCGTAATAATACATTGGATCCGAAAGTAAGAGCATCCATATCTTCCGTAGCAGTGGCGAACACCTCAACCTTTGGTTAATCACAAAACTAACAGAGCTTCCTACCTTTCCATTTTTAACTAGAGAAGCACACTGAGCCTCAGCTTCGCAGGGAGCTTCAACAACAGGAATACCCATTAGTTTCAACAAAGTTTTGACTTCTTCATTCTGTTCTTTAGTCACCTGAGAATATGAACTTGTGGAGAAAAGTTTGAACTATGAAGAACCTTAACCAAGCGCCTTTCAAACTTATCAACGGCTTCTGTGTCTCCTTTCTCTTTTGCTTCCGTCAAGGCTTTTTCAGCTTCAGCGCTAAAACAATGGTGTACTCAATATAACTTCGAATAAAACATACCGTTTTTCACTACGTTTTTCCAGTTCACCACTTTTCATATCTGGAGGTTTTCCGTCGAATACATAACAAGGTTTCACACCATGATCAATCATTCGAATAGTTCGGTAGAACATTCCCATTATATGACTTAAATGGAAATCTTCGGACTCTAAGCCTTGATACCCTCACCTTGTTGTTTCTCCACTTTCTGATTGAAGCTGAGATCCATCTTGTCTTACAGCAATCAAAAACTGATATAAGCACATAGAAGCATCAATAGCAACCTACAAATGAGTGTTATAAGCAACATTTTAGTTATTAGATAAACTTTTCGTCCAAAATAGCTTTTCATTTCATTCAGCTTAATTGCAGCAGGAGCATTATCTCCTATAACCTTTGAGAGATCTTTAATTCCCATGATTCAGCTTATTGTTATAAAACTGAATCTCTACAAATATACTGAAAGAACCACACGAAGCTGCAGTAATATGAAAAACGCTGTTTACTGTTTAAGAACTATCTGTTTCCCGCTTGTTTAGCGTTAGAGCGTGGATTCGTGCGGCAACCAATTCTAACTCAGTACTACAGGGTAATCGTTCAAGTTAGTCTCAAGAAATAAGGAAGAAGCAGAAATGTTCATTATTTATCATATTTAATGTTTTTAACAAGTTAACGAGTAAATCAACAAAAAATAACAGAACGAAAAAGATGTATGAACGTTATGAAATGTCATCCCCATCTAGATTATCATCAGAACCACCCTCTCCATACCTAAAGTTGAAATGATAAAAAGTCCGTACGATTATAAAGTAAACAGCGAACTTACCCTTCTCCGTTATCAAAATAGTTAGAGATATAATCGTTGTCTTCCTCGGCGTATCCATCTTCCGATAGAACTTCTGGATCCTCCTTATCGGACTTCTCAGAACCTTCCTCCTGTAGTATGTTTTTAATACTCATACAAAATTATATGAGGGAATACAGTTAAAAAAGTTCGAAACAAACCTCGTCTTCAACGTCGTCATCTTTATCTACATCAGTTTCATTATCCTCTAATCGTTTTAGCCGCAAGTTGAGCTCTTCATTAGACAAGCCATCAGTTTTTCTTTTTTTTGCTTTTGGTTGTCCTTTATCACGCTGCCAAGCAAGTTCATCCGGCAATCTGGTGAAGTCTAAAGATACACCAGGCTGATGATGAAAAAAAAATATATAAGTTTGTTACCTGGCTGCATTTTTTCTCTATCTAACTGGTTATACTTATCCATGTACCTTCTGATATCTTTTTTCTTCTTATGATCCAGAAAGAATTCAGACTCATGAAACCTGAAAGATTATGGATTAAAGTGCTTGAAAGGAATCTACCCACCTATTCACTAATTCAAACTTAACATCAGACATGTACGATTGCTCATCTTTGATGCTCAATGGGATCAAAGGCCGATTCAGAACCTGAGAAGTTTTATTTCAATACAGACTACTCGAACGGTTGCTTCCAAACGTACTGGATATAATGGTGGTTCTACAACCCTACTTTGTTGATAAGAAGCCATCTCATGGCGAGCAATTCCAAGAGCATTAGCCACAGCTCTAACTGTAGTACCGGCTCCTCCGCCTCTTCCTCGTCCACCCATCTGAACGAAGCTTTTACAATGCTGACATAGCTTTACATATATTCAATGTTACAACATTTTGCAGAACAACCATTAAGTCAAACTTTATCATATTAATTTTTCAATCCTATTTCAATCGATTTGTATATATTAACAGAAACAAAACAACAAACAATGTACGTGAAGGAGCGAGATCCTATAATAATCCTATTTGCTACATCTAATCGTTAGAAACTAAGAAGTTGAGAAGCTAATGGGAATATAAATTATAACTCCCGTGGAGTTTCAAAAAGTGTAATTGGGACAAGCTGTATATTATAAAATGAAACGATATTGATTTGCTCACTGATGGGTTAATTCACACAAGAGAGAAATCACTTTTCTTGCTCTGTTGTACTGTTTCTCTCCTTATTCCAACTATCAAGACCTTTAGGCAACTCTGTGTTCTCATCCATACCTATAAAAATTCAAGAAATTTCAAGAAAAGCACTCATAACAAACCTCCGGTTCCAGCTACCATTTCTTCGTAAGTATGCTTCTCAACGAAGGGACGTTTACCAACAATTTCTACCAAATCTTCGCGAGACAAAACTTCACGTTCAAGCAACCTTTGAGCTACCTTAATGTATGGTATATAGTTGATTTGGCGTAAATTTGATACTTACTTTCTCTATGTCATCCCTCTTGCTTATGAGAAGATCCCTTGTTCTGTTCAAAGCACTGAAGACCATATCTCTCACCTCAAACAAGGAATGAATATTCAAAAATCAGTTATAATTAACCTCTTGATCAATGAGTTGAGCTGTAGCCTCCGAGTAAGGTTTATCGAATGACATCTCTCCGGGGCTGGATGTTTCGAAAGACAGAGGTCCCACCTTCTCGGACATTCCAAATTTAACAACCTATAATGACATATGAAGCAGAACACGAGATAATAAATTACTTGTGAATAAGCCATTTGGGTAACTTTCTGGAGATCATCCTGAGCTCCAGTTGTGATTCTACCGAAGAAAATTTCTTCTGCAACACGACCACCTAATGTCATACACATTCTGAATGGAACACAAATACTCATACTATGCACAGAACAAACCTATCAAGAAGTTGCTCTTTAGTATACAAATATTGTTCCTTGGGTAGGTATTGGGCATAACCCAATCCTTTTCCTCTTGGAATAATAGAGACTTTCAAAAGAGGATCCGCAAATTGTAAGAACCATCCCGCGATAGCGTGACCAGCTTCATGGTAAGCAACAGTTCGCTTCTCTTCGGCTTGTAGAACCTGACTTTTTTTTTCCATGCCTGCGACTACCCTCTCTATGGCTTGTTCAAAATTCTTCTGAGTTATTTCTTTGTTGGCATCACGAGCGGCGATCAACGCAGCTTCATTACAAACGTTGGAAATATCAGCTCCTTAATATAAACCATATGATTGAAAAAAAAGAGAAACGCATACCAGAGAATCCTGGGGTATGAGCGGACAGTTTGCGTGACAATTCCGTTTTATCTAGAGAAGTTTTAAGAGGACCAAGATGGACTCGGAAAATTGAAGCGCGCCCCTGAGAGGATTGAGCATTGAACTTTAGAAACAGAACTAACCTTTATATCTGGAACAGGTACATATATTTGTCTATCAAATCTGCCAGGACGTAGTAAAGCAGAATCCAAGATATCAACTCTGTTGGTAGCAGCCATAACGATAACGGAAGAATCATCGGTCGAAAATCCTAAAACATTCAATTTTATCGAAACACATAAAGAATCTGCAGACCATCCATCTCCACCAGAAGCTGATTAAGAGTGTTTTCTTGTTCAGAGTGACCACCCATTCCTCCTTTTCCGCCTATGATGATTCTTGTAAAACCGGACGATCTGGGACTTAGCTTACCTCGCTTTCTTCCAACTGCATCAATTTCGTCGATGAATAAAATGCAAGGACTGTTTTTACGAGCCATGGCGAACATGTCGCGAACTCTTGCAGGTCCCACACCAACGAACATCTGTAAATGTGAGAACGAATATGCTAGAACAAGTTAGTCGACATACTTCTAAAAATTCAGAACCAGAAACAGTGATGAAGGGAACATTAGCTTCACCAGCAGTGGCTTTGGCTAACAATGTTTTTCCTGTGCCTGGAGGACCAGTCAATATGGCTCCCTGAATATATCGTTATACTAAAATCAATACAAAAGAATGTTACTGACCTTTGGAATTTTCGCACCCAAGTCTTTATATTGTTGTGGGTTCTTGAGGAAATTAACAAACTCCATGATTTCTATTTTAGCTTCCTCGCATCCAGCGACATCTTTGAAAGTGACCTAAGAACTCAAGATTAATTTACTTCTATCTAAATTAAAATTACTTTGATATCCTCTTTATTAATTATTCTCGCTGTGCTCTGACCGAAGCCTCCGAACATTCCACCTAGTCCACCGGCACCGGGCTTACCTCCAGCTTGAAAATTTGAATTATTATAAGCCAAAAAGATATATTACCTCCAACACCTCCTCCTCCTCTCAACATTCTGTATATATAATATCCGAACAGCAAAGGGAAAGCAACACTGATCAAGCTTGGAATCTCACGTTTGCTAAAGTGAAGTATGAGGAAAATAATTCATAAATCTCTAACAAATCAAATTCGCTTTTATAGAGAACAGGAATTTGTCGTTCTGTTTCATATCCTAAGTGATGCTGAGCTGCAGCCAAACTACGCTCAAAACTGTCAACGCTTCCAATATTGAAATATGCTGTTTGCTGAAACATGAACAAACTTGCAAAATCAAGGTTAGCTCAATACTCACTCCTCCGCCTCTTCCCGGTGAAGTGACGACGCGAACCCATTTTTTATCTACAACTTCTAATCGTTCAACCTGAATAGTAAATGCTTTTCTCTATTGGTGGACTCAATCCTTACAACTCCGGGTTCTAGGAACTCTGAGAAAAACTCTTTCCAGGAAATTTCACGGTAAGATTGATAATCCATGAATAGATATAAACCGATAATGGCACCAACGGAAACCGCAATTTGCTGCCATCCTCCAGGGCTAGAAAAATATATAAAGCAAACAACAAAATTTACAAGTCTTACAACTGATCTAAAGGACCACCACTTCCTTTCTCTTTATCATTTCCTAAGTAAAATTAAGAGGGACGTTTGATCTATCATCTTACCTGTTTTTTTCTGATTATCTGAAGACGTGTTAGTAGAGTTCGCAGACTTATTATTATTATTACTGGAGGAGCTTTGCTCAAAAAACTTTTTAAACCCTTTCGGTGTGGAGAAGAGTTGAACCGCTTTTTGGACCTGTAGTTTGAGTGTGAACGCTAAATGAATGACAGTTTCCAAACCTGATTCACAAAGCGTTCCTCTATTCTAATGTTTTTATGCAAAATATTGTTTACTTCTCGTTTTGATAAAACATTCTGAATAAGACATCGTAAACTATAATTTGAGAAGTTCAAGCTTACATCTCTGGAAGTAGTCGAGAACTTCGACGATACCCTTGTTAACCCGAAAAGGCGATTGGAACATAATTCTCTGGATATTGTGTTAGATGAAATACTACGGCTTAACCGCCACATCTGCAAATTATAGCTTTGTTTAGGTGAGAAAATGATGACTAAGAAAGAGAAGTAGGCACTCAAACACAAAGAGTTCATGAGAGGCTTGAAAAAGCATCATCAGTGAGTTTCACAATTTCAATTTTCGTACGCAAAGTCGCGTCTGATTCCTACAGTAGGATTAATCTACTCACTAAGTATCTGCTTCGTTTATATATATTTAAGCTTTTGTTTATATCAAAGAAAAGGTAATGCAGTCATCTTTATGCGCATAGAATACGAGAACAATAAATAAATAGTTGATTAACGTACATCAGTTCAGATATAGTACACATACTATGGTCAATCGGACCAATCACCGTAATAAAGTTAGAAATGGTGTTTCTAGCAAGCACTTAATTTAGTTAATGAAATTTTATAAATTTTAGGTTTAACTTCCCAATTGCGATTAAATAGAGAACGATAAGAGATGATGCAAAAATCGAGATCAGTGAAATAATAAAACAAGCAATCAAATCAGACAACTTTGGTGTCAATAGATACGAAAAGTAACCCCATCAATAAGAGAATCCCTTAGTATTAATACTTATTACAATTCACATTTCTACTTCTTTCAGGCGACTCTATTAGGCACTATGCCTACAGCACTCTCCAGTATTTGTTCGCGCATCTTCCAGAGAGCTTTCACCACCTCTTCCTCAGAAACGATACCAGTTCCATTTTTCTGCTAAAAGATGCGAGTATTACAGTTGTTCCGAAAAGTTAACGTACTCTAAGCCAGTGGACTGGTAATGGTTTCTTATTGCTAGTGTTTCTATGATTCGAGCACAAACTACGATCGAACTGACTAACAGTTTTTTGACGTTGAGCGCCAAGTGATTCGATATAACTGAAAACGGAAATATTCCATATGATTCAAACAAGAAAAGATCAAACCGTAAATATGTTTCTGAATGTAAAACTCTTCTAGATGTGAACGATGCAGGAGCATGTACGAAAACTGGTTCAGGATTAGAAACCATTTTTACAACAGTACGTCCAGGATCAGTAATATTCGGGATAATTTGAGCACTCTGCATTTGCTGAGGAGGGCCATGCTGAAGTTAAAATTAAGAAAATTGTTTTGCTCAGTTACTAACCTGTTGTGGGAAGTGAGGAGTAGGACCTTGAGCAACATAAACGGTTTGAGAGTGAGTAGGTGGATGTGAAGTAGAGTGTACAGACTGAACCAAGCAATATTATTTAATTGTGAAATCGTGCATACCTGATATTGATGTTCAGGGCCAGCATGACCGGGAGTGTGTCCATTTACCATTGGAGGTTGACCAGAGATATGGTTTGCTGGTGGAAGCGTACGGCCATGTGGAGTGTGCACCAATTGATATGTCTGAAACGATTCATTAAACAGAATTCTTCGGAATTGACTTACATCTCCACTGGAGGAAGGAATTTGTACTAATTTATAGAAATTGCGTCCTAACTGGCTGATATTCATGATTTTGTAGGATTGAGCCATGTGCTTCTCCTGAAACAGAACCGAATGAATCTGATTTATACAAAATCCACTATACCTTCATATGCCTATGCAGTCTTGGTAATGAAGGGAACGGTTTGCCTTCTTTCCTGTTCCTAGCGCAAGTGTACCATAAGCAAACGTATTGATTCTCACCATCAACTGAAAGAAAGAATAGTATTATGAAGAAAATATGTATTTACCAATTATTTGGCTCGTATGGTGTTGAATAACGTGCTCATACAATGCGTTCTCCTGATCAAACTGGAAATCGCAGTGAAGCCACTTACAGTGATAGACACGAATTTGGCCAGGCTAAAACAAAGACATATTACTCCATAGGAACAACTTCATTCAAACCTGAAGCTGTTCTTTTACAAGAGCTTTTGCGGCTTCCTGCTTTGTTCTTTCGTTAGCTATAAACTCAGCACGAACTTCGTATTGCTTTTTCTGATCTTCGGATAGCTTTTTCCACTGAAACTCAAGAATGTAAATTTGTGAGCTTCCCAAAACGTACCTCGACACCAACTATTTTAGACACTTCCCCGAAGCCGGCTTCAGGATTTTCGTGCATTATACGCTTTCTCACTTCAGCAGAGAAAAGGATATATCCGGATTTACTCTTAGTAGTGAGTTTTGGTTGAGTTGCTAACCATGTTGGAGCTTCGGTCTGAACACAAAGCAAATAGATATCCGACGATATGTTGTATTACCTTGGTGTTGCTTGTAGAAGACTCAGCACCATCAGATTCTGTGTCGTCGATCATATCAATATCCAGAGCATCTCCACCAATGTCGTTCTTAAGGAGTGGTGAGATTTCCTGGAAAATTACAGTATAATCCTGATGAGGCCTGATCAACAGAATGCGAAGCGCTCGTTGTAGAATATTACCTTTTCCATTGTTATTGGAGTTTTGAACCGGTAGACTTCGGCATCCACGACGCGTGATCCGTTTTTATATACCTGAAATCATTTTGATGAAAATAATGTAATAACAAACAAGAACGATGTTATGGTCACGAAACTATAAAGACGCTAAAGAATGCCCACTTTCGGAAAAACGTCGAAAGGCATGCTTTCACAAATGAACGTAGTTCGAACACCCAATAACGAAGTCAGACAACCGGCACCGCGTTCCCGTGCCGGCGGAACAGCGACGTCAGTTTCGCGGCGACATGTCGACGCGACAATCGCTGCTGCAGCAGCAACAACATGGTGTCGCACACAGGGTATATTCGCAGCCGCGACCGCCCGTGAGGAGCCAAGCGCATCTACTCTGGCTGGGGGCCGCAGCTCTCTTGGCGTCAATACTCTCTCTTCAGCATACAGCTGCCCAATCCCTCTCTCTGCTACACTCTGCTTTGCACAATATCTTTGCCACACTCTTTGCATCTTGAACACTATCTGACCTTGTGCTCTACACTCTCTCTTCACTGCATTATCTATATAAGCCGTACTCACAATCGATGGCCTACTGGCCCTACATTCCGCGCTCAAGAACGATTTCTAACATATAAGACGTCAGCCGTTCTGCGTTTCTGATATTCATCACATTATTCCAAAAAAGAGAGCCCATAAAATCAACTTGTTAACAGGAAAAGAGAGAGAAGATTCAAGCAATTATAGATAAAACTTGTGAATGTTGGCTAGAGACTTGGAAATGGTAATAATGCAAGCTCAAATATCTCATAAGCATGACAGATGTTCAATCGCATAATAATGGGCAAAGATGGATTCTTGCCAAATCTTAACCCAGAAACAGAAACAACCCCTCAACCGAATCACGAAAGAAAAAAACAACGAAGACTTACCTTGAACCGTCTTATAGCTGAAATGAAATCAATGTGGAAAGGTTCTCCAGGTGAAACCTTTTCTTCTTCATCATTAGAGGTGGCAAACTATAAACTTACGGTTTAATTATATACAACAAAGAAGAACATACTGGATTGGATGTAAATAGACAGGATGCTTCGCCCTTAGGTAAAGGAGCACCGTTCACTTTAGATTCACAAACATAAACATCACATTCCGGAATTTCAGTTGGTCTTTCTGCAATTTCGAGAATGATTAGAAAATGGTGAGATTTGAGCAACTAACCTTTGACGAAATCTTTAGTAACTAAGACGGCACAACTATTTTGAATATCTTCAACTCGTCGAGTTTGGTCCGGTTGATTAACGGCAAAAACTTCACGGGGATAGAACATCCGATTAGACTCATGTTTTATGTCTTGTGGCCGAGCAAGCCATCCGCCGCTGAACCATTCACTTCCACTGCAAAAGTTTAACAATTTTTTTTCTTTTTTTTCAAACATACTCTTTATCTCTCCACATCTTATCAATTCTCATTACATCACAGTATGGCTTATTGGGATTGAACACAAGAACGAAGTCACCACAAGCATAATGCTTTCCCGATTTCGATCGCATTTGAATCAAATGCAGTCGGCCGTCAGCATCTGCTTCACCGTTTCTAACTGGGACCTGTAGAAGAACTCGCATTGAAATACAAAAATCGGAAATTGAAATTACCTCTGGTCTATCAATATCGAGAAAAACGAAATCTTTGAGTCTATCCTCATTATCAGTACTTGACGTTGAAATATTAGATTGATTCTGTAGTGTTGAACAAGGTGATGAATAATATATTGAATACTCACATCTTCTGGCTCAGATTTCACAAACTGACTGCAAATTCTAGCAGGAGGCTCAATAGGAGTTTCGCGAGCGGTAAATGAGCTCAACTCGGCATCGTTTTCGTATGCCCAGCTCTTAAATGTTTTTTTTATGAAAGTGAAAATAACATCAAGCCCTAACCTTCAACTTCTGGAAATATCTTGGCTTACCAAAATACTTCGATTCACAAACATAAACGTCTTTCTCATCGTAGCCTCCGATGGAATGGCTCAGATATGTTTTGAAGAAAACAACCTAGCAAAATATGGTCAAAAAGAAGGTAAAGATAGAAGTGTATCACCATGCATTTTCCAACCAAGCGATCGGCTGTTGCCATGTCTTGGAAAGGAGTAATAAAAACTTCGTTCTCATAGAAGCGACGATTCGATAAGTGTATGGTTTCTGAAGGACGATAGACCCACACACCTCTAAGCATTTGTTCGCCACTCTCATTACTGAAAAATAAATATATTCTACATATGAGAAAAGTATGAAAAACCTGAAAATTCTTTCTATCCGCATAATATGAGGGAGACCTTTGCTGTTCTCTTCAGTTCTACTTATGTAAGCATAACAAGGAGCAGAATATTCAACATCGTTGATTGTGATAGACGGAAGATCAATCTCGCCTTCCTGGTTAGCGATTTCATCAACACTTTCCCTCCGGTCTTTCTCGATTGTCTCTCCTGCTTGAACCCGCTTCTTTCTTAGTTTCTCAATTTCTTCCACGACATGCTGGAAAAGGAAGTATATATGCAATATTTTAAGAATAGTTTCATACACTCTCAATTACAGCAAAAGCGTTTGATATCAAACTGTTCTTGCATAGAGCATCTCGTTCACGAACAAACATCAACTGGAGCTCGATTGCATCCTCAAACAATTGCGATCCTAATCGGGAATGCTCACGCGTTTTCTCAAACAGATCGAAGAAATCTTTTTGAAGTCTATCCAGGCGTCGATAGCGGCACTAAAAAAATATCTGAGGAACTGGTGCTGAGAATTATCGTACTTTTTCGATGTTTCTTCTCAATTGATCAAAAGAAAACGGCCATTCATCAGAAGGAACTCCTTTGCATTTCAACAAATCAGGCAAATCAGCGAACGACTCGCTAAGAGTTCGGCCATCGACATCCTTCGCAGTGAACACTTTGTTGAAAATACCCAGGAACAGACTGCGCAGTTCAACTTGAACTTTGGGCACGTTATCATCATAAGCAAAATCAGAATGATGTCCCGATGTTCTTCTTCCGTCATCTGAATTTGAGTTAAAATTGTCAGAGTAAAAAACTTTGACTCACCTAGTTTCATGAAATCATCCATGCGTTTCTCGGACTTGGGTGTTCTTCCTCTGCAAACAGAAAATGAACTTTCGAATTAAAAACAATTCTTACTTGGCTCTATGCAAAGGATTTTCTATGACTGGCTCTTTAATCTTTACATAATAAGCATGAAGCATTTGTTCTAGCCGCTGAGAGTCGTTGAAAACTTCAGAACCAGGCTCGTTATAGGACCTAGCATTCTCGAACATGGTTTTCATCTCACTCATGAAATGAGCAGTAGTCACATACTAAAATTAATGATGATAACCAAAACATAACATACGGAAGAAACCTTATTATTTTCAATGCGATCCTTGATCATAGACAAATCCACTGGGTTCTTGATAACGTCGTAGTAATCTGCATAAGTACGCTTTGATGGAAGATGATTAAAAGCTCCAGCAGGCCAATACTCATTGGGATCCTAAATGTTGTATGTTTTGAAGGAGACCCAGATTACATACCTTGAAGTCGTACACGACAGACCATAAGGATAACAAATGTGTTTTGTACCGCAAGATCAGTTCATCAATGCTTTTTCTTCCGGGTTTTGATGCAGGAGTCTCACTGTTCTTCTTAGGAGATCTTGGTTTCCTCTTGATTGCAGGAGTGTTCTAAAAGTGACATTTGGGGTTAACTAAAATATTGGAGGAATACTTTAGATTCCTCATCACTGCTTTCCACATCAGCTTTCACTTTGGGTGCTCGTGGTGGACGCCCTCTCTTGACAACTTTTTTCTCAAACATCTGAAACTACTGATAAGCACAGAAATTTTTTTTTTTCCAAACCGAAAGATCAACTCCAGGCTCCAATTCGCGCATCTTGTTAACAGCCATCTCTTCTAGTTTTCTAGCAGATGTATAATACTCCGACTCTTCAATATTATATTCACAAGCGTTTTCGAAAACCTATAACTTCAAGATAACTATGCTTGTTACATCAATCAAACCTGAACAAAATCCTTGAAAAGATCGAATAATGTCTTATAATCTCCACACTTCAATTTCTTGTTAATCATGAAGAAAGACATTGGATTTTTAATATCATCGTAATAGTCGGGATAATCTCTGAAAAATTAAATTTAGAAAATATTCAAAAATGTATGACTGACTTCTTGCTTGGCAATTCCAAAAACGGATCACATAAGCATACTCCTTCTTCTGTCAGATCGGGTTCATTACGTAGATGCCAATAAAGCTGCCATTTAGGATCCGAGCTCTCTTCACTGGATTCATCCTCTTCAGCATCTTCCAGAGTGTTATCGATAATGACGGGTGCACTTTCCGTTAACAGAGAGTCTACAACTCTCACAACCTTCTCCCTTCTTAATCAAGTACATATTGAAAACAAAACAACAGGGGGTCATACCTTTTGACATGAACACCTTTCTCAAGAACTTGGGAACTTTTTTCTTTGAAATATTCCAACAGAATTGCGGCATCTTTGTATATTTCACTTCCTTTACCATAAAACTGCTGTAAAAGACGAAATTACATAAAAGTGAACGTCTATCATGATTTACCTGAGCATTTTTACAAAGTAACCTAACATCATTCTCTAGATCACCTAACACTTTGTATTCGCCACTCCTAGCCTTGTTCGCTATGGCTTTCAAATCGATCGGACTTTTTATTTTGTCGTAGTAATTAGGAAATGTCTAATACAATATGAATAGAATCAAAATAGGATACTTTGACTTACTTCTTTATCTTGAAGAACTCTGAAAGGCATGGAAATCGGCTTTCCTGCTCCATCCGTACATTCTAACATTCCACAAATAATATCATCTATCTGAAACACTGAAGTAGAAGAAAGAACATAAAAAATCGAAATTACCACAATGGCTTCCAATGTTTCAGGCGAAGCGGTTACTTCTCGAGATGTTCCAGCACCTCCACGAGAAGAGATAGAACTTGAACAAGATATTGAAAAATTATAAAAAGAATAAAAATACCGAGCTTCCAGGCTAGAACCAGCGTTACTTTCTAAGTCATCAGTATCCCTTTCGTCCGTAAGCAGAGGAATACCATTCTCAACTTTCTCTTTTGCGTCTTTGTAGATGTTCATGAGTTTGAGAGCGTCTTGATATTCAACACTGTCTTCCTGAAATTATACTATGAAAACATTGTAATATCAATTGTAACTACTTTGTAATATGCTTGCGTATTTTCAACTAGAAGCTCAACATCTTTACAGAACTGGTCGAATGAATGATATTCCTCAGTTTTAAGCTTTTGTTGAATCCGGGTGAGATCAATTGGCGACTTAACGGTTTTATAGTACTCAGGCTCTGTCCTAATTGAAATTTTATTCGGTTTTATAAGAAATGGAGTCTACCTGCGAGAAGGGGTTCGAATGAAATGTTCAGTTATCTCCCGATTTTCCTCGCCACGATGTTGACGAAGGACATTGTAAACACCTTGAGCTTTTTTTAGCTAGAGAAGATTACAGAATTGTATAATTAAAATTAATGCTTACTTCTTCCATGATTTTCAACTTTTCAACATTGGAGAATCGGCCTTTCCTCTTTTTTAAAGCGGGGGTTCCAACGGGAGGAGAATTCTCCACTGTCTCACTGAGGCGCTTTCTCTTGGTACTCATTGACACCTTACAAAAATTAAAATTTACAAAACTAAATAGAGAGCAGCACGTTGATCAGATTACGAAAAAACGACGTTTGAACATAAAAAATAACTCTTTTTCATTTTAAAGTAGCTGTGAGAATCGCATGCAAGGGCGTCCTAATAGTGGAACATTCAAAAGAGCGTAGACAGAGAGACAACAGAGATAGCGCGTAGCGAATGCACCGAAAATGCGTCCGGGTCACCCAAGCCAGCGCCCTCATCAATAAATCGATTTTAGAATAAAAAACTGTTATTGCAAAAGGTAAGAAAATTAAATATTTTTTTTTATAAATGTGAGAAGCTTCAAAATAGTTTTTTGACTCTGAAACGGCTGGAAATAAGATCACATAATAAATTTAGATTTATCAGATCAAGATAAGAAAGACAAGTGTTAATAAGTATACCGACACATATTATTCCTAACAGATTTTAAAAAGTAATTATCTATTCATATAACGTAATGCCTATTACTAGCGCCCAAGCTATATTCAAAAATAGTTGACGCATACTTCGTGTGTTTTCCCGCCTCTTTTCAAAGTACGGTATAAAGCGGCGTGCTGCTCTGACCTGAGTTGTTACTTGAGCTCTATGAAATCTCATAGATTTGAAGGGTGAATCTGAGGTAAAGTGTTCTCAAAGAACACTAAAGTCTCTATTTTATAGATGTGATGGAAGCCAAAAGAATTAAACTTTCTCATTCTGATTCAAATCTGAGTAGTAAAGCTTCGTCATGTGGCATTGCACAGGCAGCTGAACTGTCGATAGAATTGGAAAATGAGGAGAAATTAAAAGTTTTCGTTAAAGATCTAAGAAGAACATTAAACAACAAACAGAATATCATTTTGTTCATAAAGAAACGAGATGTGAGGTTCAAGATTCTCGTGGACCAATTTGTGAAAATGACGAATGGATTAGGAAGCACCAGGTTTGGTTGCATTGACCTCTGTGTACTTGCGACATCTTTATATAGTAACAATGACCCACCTGCATATTTGAAAGAAGTCACTAGCCTTATAGCCAACTGTTGTAATTACTCTGTTGCGGCATGTTTAGAGTTGAAGCAACCTCATCTACAGTTCACTTTTGCGGCAGGTGTTGTTAGGTCCATTTCTTATAATGAAATGAATGTTTCAGTGAAAATTCTCGAAAGTATAAGTGCGCCTATGGAGTGTAAGCAGTCTCTAATAAGAATGGTAGCTAATATGTGTGCTCACAAAGTAATAATTAAAAGAAAATTTTCCAAGAAATCTTGTTCCAGGAAACAGCACTGTTTATTTCGTCGTCCTCAGGATTGATCGACAAAATTTCACAGTTTCTCGAAAATGACAATGCCGAAATCATCAAACAAGCTTTAAGAGTCTTGCGCTTGTTGTCCGAAGCTTCGTTTACAAGAGTAAGTCTCAAATTAAAGAAAGCTTTTACTGCATATTTATTGAAAAAGGGTGAATATACAAAGTTGGAATGGGCTTAAACGCAAAGTAATATACAATATTAGTAGACCCCAAGCGGTCCTAATTTTAGAATGAAAAATCTATAAGATTTCTCAAGTTTGTCAGGTGTACGTGAGAGTATCTAAGTATGCTTTCTTGGCTGAAAGACTTGGTTGGTAGTTCTCAATTGAGACGGTGGATTCTGCGTATAAGTATGTTGATGTTGAGGCACAGGCTTCTCATGACTCAACTTAACAGCAGTAGTAGGATAACAACGATCCATCTGTAACGGAAGCATTACTATATATCTCGAGGTTCTTTTTTACCTGTCCAGGAAGCGCAGTATCCTTCTCGAGATCTTTAATTGGTTCATCCGAAGTTTCAGATGATGTTATCTCGCTTTCCGAAGTGCGTCGATCCTAGATAATATAGTTAAGATATTGTAACTTGAGTCAGTCTTACTTTCTTGTTCATTACTCGGCGACCACCAACTTTGTTTGCTGGTGGATGACCCCCTTTAAGTTCTTGTTCGAGTGACAAAACCATATCTGCAAAAGCATTAGCTGTTAGTCGTCAGTTATGAAAGTAAAAATTGAAGCTGCGAAGAGTGATGAAAGGAAATATCTAACTGTACGGAATGAGACAAACATGTTTTCAGATGAGTGTTCTTTGAGCAATGAAATGAATTACGTTTGGTAATGCGATTATATAACTCTGATATTCTTCAATACGAACAGAAAGAAATGAGAGCTTACTTCTAAAGATCTTACGATTTTGAACAGTAAAAAGTAATGCATTGCGCAATATTTCCTCTGCGTTTTGCTCGATAAAATTTACTCAGTCGAAAAAAATATGAGAACAGAGGAAGAGAGACTGGTGAGGCTAGCTGGGGAACTTCGAACATCAGAGAAAGCTGGCGCGAGACACAGAGTCAGTCATGTGGTCGTTCACACACAAACAAGGTCTGTGTGGAGAGAAATGGCAGGAGAAATCACTTTCTGCCAGAGAAGCAGAGAACAGTGAATAGAGCGTTCCAATCGAAAACAGAATATTGTTTTGATCAGAAGGAGTGGAAACAAAGCGTTTTGAGTAGAAGTGTTTTGAGGATACAAATTGTTTAAATAGAGTTGACAATTTTTTTACAGGTATTAGTATTGTCCAATGCGGGTTTCTATCTCGGAAAATTATTATGCCGAGAAGATTCGAAACATTTGAAAGAAGTAACTACTTTATTGAGCAAAATGTGCCAACGTTATGTAGCAGATACTGGTAGGCAAATAGCATCGAGGTGAGTGTTCAACAGGCAAAAACATTGAAAGGTTACGCAATCAAACTGGAGATGATTCTTTTCTCCTTGGTTTACCAGTTTTATACGCGATGTATACGCCATGGTCACATGTTCTTCATTGAACGTGATTTCAAAAACATTGTGAAACCACCGGCAAATGACGAAAACATTCAGAGTTGGATAATTTTATCGCTCATTTCGAATGAAAATAGAAATATCTGTCATTTAAAATATGATTCCATTTGTTTTCGCGTATGAAACACTGATAAAGGATGAATCAACAAAGAACTAATCGAAGATTATTGTTTCTTCTCTTTAAAACTCCATAAACATAATCACGTGACGTGGCTAAGACATAAATATTCCAGTGATTGCTCGCAAAGACTGGTAGCTCTGATCTTTTCTGATGATAATGTGAAGGCTAAAAACCTTATAGTTCAATTGTGCCAAGGATCAAGTGATATCCGTGATAGGTGAAAAGACATAAACATGATAAGAGTAAAATGTGTTTGAAGGTTGAGCGAATCTAATTTGATCACCCGCTTAGTAGACGAAGCTAGAACTAGTACGAACGACACGCAACTGCATTCTACGCTTCTATCAACGTTTGCGCAAGTATGTTTCAAACGCATAGATCGGTTGCATTCTTGAAGTTCAGGATGCTTGGGGTAGAGCAACACTACGAAAGATTGGAGCATTAGATCTGCTTGTTGAACGATTTTCGAAGTCTGAAGACGATATCGAGCGCTTGTCAATAGTTCAATCGCTCAAGCATTTCATACATGACACAGCAGGTTGAGACAGTTTTACTAAAATTCACATTTCCATGTAGGTATGGCACATTTGGCTCGTAGTTGCCTTTTCCTAGAAACTATTATTCGTGATGTGCAACTGTTTGTGAATGAACACAAGCTGCTCTGTGAGGTACTATATTTCTTTAGTTACAGGTTGAGAATTTTATTTTTTAGCACAAGCAAAAGTCGGAAGATGATTACTATAGACCAAACAGTCCCTTATTAATGGAAATAGAATCTAGTATGAGACGTCAAAGCGCTGAGAATTCAGTAAAAAATGTTTCAATTACATAATATAAAATATCATAGGAACCAAGCGTTCTGCACAAAACGTTTTACTATGCGCCACCTGATTCGTTCTCACCTTTGTCTTCCCCTCCGTACAGCACCCCTTCAACAGAGAGGGCTTCTCCGGTTAACTCAACTTCTACAAGCCCTGAGCTTAGGTAGCGGCAAATATTATTATGGATATTAAATTTAATATTCAGCTATCTTGCAACCACCATGGTCGATACGATTTCTTCGCTTGGTGATAAGCAGGTTAAAGAAATAGATGTAGTAAAACAGAAAAAACACGTAAGAGTCTACGATAATTTTCGCAGTATTTTTCCAAGTTTTAGATAATCGATACTGAACTCTGGTTAATAACTTGGCAAGCACAAGAAGATACTAACATAGCTTATCTCATCCGTGAGGACCTAGTCGTATGGTTTACTCATATTCTTTTGGTTATTTTTACTACCTAGATTGAGATAATTCGTTATTTATCGCTAATAGCAAAAGCTGATTTTCGGGCAAGTAGAGCTTTAAAACGTATGGCGTCTTCGAGAAGTTCTATAGACACATTACTGGAAATGCAGTTTCATATCCGGGTTTATAAAGCTTTATGTGATGTCCCTTGTAGAACTTTGAGGTTATTCTTTATTTGTATGCATCAGCTGCATCACATAACTGTTCCAGATTCAGTGCCCGATGCAGCCGGTGTGAGAAATGTATAGAATCAGGAAAAGAAATTTTGAAGTTTGTTCCGAATCACTTCGAGTACATATATCAGTTTCAGGGAATTTAGCTGCCACGTTGATAGTGGCTACGGCGATTCATTCTTGGCTAGAAGAATAAAAAGTGAGAATTTCTTGGAAAAACTACAAGCTTCTATAGCTAAAGTCCTACTTCTGAAGTTTCTAATTTAATGAAATTGTTTTCTGATTTCAATATCTCAGAGATACAGCTGGGTCTCGAAGGAAAAACGCTTCGAATATTTATTCCATCGCTTTTAACACTTTATTCTCGTGTTTGGAAGAAATTCTGCGCAAATCCGAAGGATCTTGTGCTATTGACCATACAACATATGCGGATGGGGTACTGTTCAAATTGAACATGGTTGTTAGACTATTCATTTGCAGCCAACCATCATATCTCAAATAGTTTTTGCCGTCTCGGGTTTGATTTCTAATCGGAAAGCACGGTAGTATTTCGTTGAAAATTAGTTTCTAATCTTTTGTTTTTGAAGAGAAATATTGGAAATCGATGAACCGTACAGCCATCCAGAAGTTGTTTCCTGTCAAATATCACAATATAACACAATAACTGATAACGAAACTGTTCCAGACGAGTAAGTCAATGAGTGTAAAATCGTTTTTGAATTTTTAGTTAGCAGGGTGGAACTACTAGTGTTCACAAATGAATCCAATGAAGTTATAGTTAAGATACCCCTGGAGAGTGCCTGTAAAAACAGTGATTACTTCCAAGTTGAATCGAATCGTATAACTTTTTGAACTATTGTTCAATTCCAGGGCATGTTTTCTAGTAATCTGGCAGAGAAGACTTCTAATAGAAGGACTTTCCAATTCAATTCTGCTGCTGAAAACTGTGCAGACGATGACTTCGTGAGATTCATTCATTTCCTAGCTGGATGCCGTGATAAATGCTCACAAATCGACTCAGCGTCATGTTGCAAAGCCCTTATTAATGTGAATGCTCACAACATATCAAAATTCATAGGTCATCTTGAAAGTTTCAGCTGGCAGATCGGTATATTTGCACTGCTTTAAGTGAATGGATCTGCACTCCACATGGGCCTGCTATGAAATTCTTAACTGGAGAAATTCTGCCAGTTGTCCTCTTTCTATCATTATTGACTGAAATGTATCCCAGGTTATCACGACCCTAATCTTTCACATGCAATTGTTGAATGTATTGTAGATTACTGAACAAATGTTTCTTAACACTAGTACGATATTGCTCAGCAGAGGACTTACAAGAAACTTGCGACATGATTTCTTCGTCACCCGTTATAACAACTTTATTCATCAAAGGATTCAGGGAGTTTTTAGGAGAATAATAAAAGGGATAAACTTACGGTTCAAAATTTTATGGTTTTTCTGTCTACTGGTGAAATAAATTTTTTTTACAAAACGTGCTCCATTGCGAATTATTACTGTAGTCAGACGTTCTTGGCCGTCACTGGTTTTTGAGCGTGCGCTACTTGTCAATTTGTATGCTACTGGTTTTATAAATTTCGAATTTTTAAAAATATCTCAAAGCAGTAAATCATTGATAACCGATTTTTTAACGTTGTAGCTATCACGAGGAGCCATGAGTGATGATTATATGGATGATGACGAGGATTACGGTTTTGTAAGTTATGAGAAAGTCATGCTTTTCCACCAAAAAGTCTTCAGGAGTATGAGGATGACTCCGGCAGTGAACCAGATGTAGATTTGGAGAATCAGTATTATAGTGCTAAAGGCTTGAAAAGTGAGGGAAAATTAAATGAAGCAATCACCCATTTTGAAAAGGTAATTGTCATCCTTTTCCATTTCATGAAGCTTTCGCTCAGGTTCTATCTTTGGAGTCTGAAATGGGAGAATGGGGGTTTAAAGCTTTAAAACAAATGATCAAAATAACATTTACCCAGGTTAGCTTGACTTATGATATGTTATAGTATTTTTTGGTTTTCTAGAATGCTTTCGATGCCATGCTTACACACTACACTAGACTTTTACGATATATCAAAACTGCGGTGACAAAGAACTATTCGGAAAAATCTATTAATTCAATCCTGGATTACATTTCCACCTCCAAACAAATGGAGTTACTACAACAATTCTATAAAACTACCCTAGATGCTCTAAAAGTATTTCTTTTTGTTATTATTTATAAACACAGTTTTGAAGGATTCCAAAAACGAGAGACTATGGTTCAAAACAAACATCAAGTTGGGAAAGCTCTATCTAGATATGAGGCAATATAGCCAGTTAGAAAAAATACTTAAGCAATTAAAAAAATCTTGCAAGGTTCGTTGTGGTGTATATTCGTTTGTATACCTTACATTACAGAACGAAGAAGGAGAAGAAGACCAGAAGAAAGGAACTCAACTTTTAGAAATTTATGCTCTTGAGATTCAAATGCATACAGAGCAGAAAAATAATAAGGTTTTTATATTCTGTTGTTTCTCATAATTTTATTTTCTGCAGGCTTTGAAACGTTTATACGAACTTGCTCAGCAGGCTATTCTCTCTAAGTCAGCTATTCCCCATCCTTTAATTCTAGGAGTTATTAGAGGTTTGACTGTAGAAACTAAGTCTTTAAATATTCTAATCTTTTCAGAATGTGGTGGTAAAATGCATCTCAGAGATGGACAATTCGAAAAAGCACACACAGACTTCTTCGAAGCTTTCAAAAACTATGATGAAAGTGGATCAACAAGGAGGTATTTCATTCATAACGTTAAGGCACGATCGTTTTTTTTTTTCAATTTTGAAGAACAACTTGTCTGAAGTATTTGGTACTCGCCAACATGCTCATTAAATCCGATATTAATCCTTTCGACAGTCAGGAAGCGAAACCGTTCAAGGTTTTGTTGAATTTTGTGTTTTTCTTACCTTGTCTACTCAGAATGAGCCTGACATTGTTGCTATGACTGAAATGGTTTCGGCCTACCAAGAGAATAATATTGATGGTTTCGAGAAAATCTTAGCTGAAAATAAGGAGAGCATCATGAGTGATCCTTTCATTAAAGAACATATTGAGGAACTCTTGAATAATATTAGAACCCAGGTCAGTTTTCTTGAGCACTTTCACTTAGCTTATATGTTTAGGTTCTGCTCAAGCTCGTCCGACCTTATACTCGGGTCCGGTTGAACTATTTAGCTAAACAATTACGAATCGAAGTAGCAGAAATTAAACGTTTATTAATTGACACAATTTTAGATGAAGGTATATTTTCAACGGTAGTTTAATCGATGAATTATCTTGTTAAGGCTTGGCAGCTAGAATCGATGAACCTGAAGAAATTCTGTATGTGGTCCCGCCTTCGGAAAATATAAAAGATGATAGTAATCTATCCTTCTCTACTATGCAAGAATGGGCTGCTCAGTTGAACCAACTGCAAGTATCAGTCAATTCAAAGTTAAAATAGTCTAATTAATCAGATAAACCCAGTGATAATCAGACTCATGTAAAGGTTGATTATAGTTTCATACGATGCGAGTAGCATGTCTTTACGAGTATTAAACATTTCACAATGTCGTTCTTATTTCTTGACAGCAATAGTTCATGCTATGATTTATACTTATCTCTATCAGATTTTGATGTGGTAAATACTTTTACAGTTCAGAATGACAACGACGACTCCTAGAGATCAGATTGATTTGAAACGTGAGCTAAACGAACTCATTAAAAAAAGGGCAGAGATAGCAGTTTGTTTTCGTCTGATGGAGGTGTATGTGTACACCTTTGATTAAGGAAACATTAGAAGCTTTGGAAACTCAAATATACAACTTCGAGGGATCATATTTAGAAGAAACTGCAGAATATGGTAATGTCATTAAAGGGTGGGACCGCTATGCTCTAGCTGCTCCACCGAGCAAGACTGCTATGAAAATGGAGAAAAAAGGACAACGCAAGGTAACTTTTTCGCAGATTTCGTGAATAGTAAATGTGGAATTCAGGCATTACGAGAATCTGAAAGACTCTTCTCTAATTCATCGATTACTACACATATAGCTGTGAAGAATCACAAGAGTAAACTTCAAGGTGCCTCTGCTAATATGCAAACCAATGAGCAAATACTGAAGGAAGAGCCCGATAATGATGATGACTCAGTATGTTTATTTTTTTGTCTTATCACTAATAAGTTTATTGTTAAGGTGTCATCCAGAGAGTCCAAAAAGAAGAAACGTTAAATGTTCGACCCATCCCTATCGATTCCTTCATTCCAGTATAGCGATATCAGCTGAAATATTTCTCGCTTTAATCTGTAACTTGCATTATAGTCAAACTTACCCCCATCGTATTGTATTTATCAGACCTACAATAAATATGGTTCCTTGTTCATCTTATCTACTCTACAGTGTTCTTTCACATCAATATTTTTACGCTTCTCTAGACTGTTTTATATAATTTTTCAGTAGGATGCCTGTGAATCCCTCACAGAGTTTGAGGGATTCTTATTGTTATGTTTATAGCTGCGAATTAGATGCCGAAGTGGAGGTACCACAATGGCAAATCTTATTTTTTTTCATTTTCGTATTCAGCTGAAAATTTGCGACTTTGAAGGATACTATCGGGATCCTCTTAACCCTACCAGAAAATTAAACCAAATTTTTGTTCAAGTTGAGGTTTTTCTTTACCATCTCTGACTTCTCTTTTACATATATCTTAGCTATTCTGCAATCAGAAACCTGTTGGTTTTCCCGTGAGTACTTCCTACCAACAATCCTCAAGCAGCCAGTTACTCCCCCATTTGAAACAAAACTTTTCGGAATGGCTTACTTTACCTGCAAGGTGTTTAAGTTATTGAATATTGGTTTCATCTTGTTCGGCAGGTACTCTGCTTTATCTCGGGATGCATTCGTGCATTTTACAATCTGGGATATTGACTTGGAGGATAATACTCCTTTTCTATCAGTTGAACGTAACCGTGACAATATATCAAAAGGACATGTAAGTGTTCCTACGAGTTTTGATGCTAGATGTGTTTTTAGACGTCTTTTCCTAAAAGACTCATTGCTCAAGCATCGATGCCTCTTTTCAACAACATGGGGGTTTATCAGTCTGGAATCGTAGATGTTCAGGCATGGTTTGAGTATAATACTTAATTAAAATCTTGAGTTGTAGTTGAGTCAATCAAACAAAAGTGAGCCTTTAATGAAACCGAACGATTCTTGGAAATACAGTTCTGAAGCTGGTTTCCAACATTTCCATGAAATTCTTCAGAGAAAGGTTTCAATTCTTCGTACTGATACGGATTACTGGTTGAACAAGTTCAGTGCAGAGACTATCGAGAAGAATCAGAGCAAAGTATGGATAAGCTTCATGTTTTTTTTTGTAATTCTCTTCTTCAGCTCAAGTCAGACTCAAAATCCCTGTTCTTAGTTGTGAGCATGGCCAATTGTGTTTTTGATCTGCAGCGGTTTGATATTGTATACTATGAGAGAGAGAACTCAACGGTTAGTTATTTTTTATACAGCTGTTTATTCGTTTCCATTATAGAAACTCTCTTCGTATCGCAATCCTGCTGATCCTGAATTGGGGGTTGGCTTTGAAAATCTTTGTGAAGCTCAACACTACCTCATGACAAGGCACGCTAGAGCTGGACGAATGGATAAACAGCTTAAGCCTAATAAAGCAGCGAAGGATAAATTAGATCATATAATGAAGGTACTACCTATTGTCAGTTCCTTTTGAACGTCTCAACTTCAGCTACCTTCAACTCAACCTCTAACAAGAGAGCAGATGGATTTCGTATGGAAATTCCGCTATCATCTGCAATCTTATCCATGCGCGTTGAACAAGTTCCTTCACTCAGTTGACTGGAAACGCCCTGGGGAAGTTGAGAACGCCGTTTCTCTCTTGAAATCATGGGCGCCCATAGAGGCTGAGGATGCTCTGGAACTATTGTCTATTAATTTCACGCACAAGAGTGTTCGGTAGGGTTTTGACCTATGTACTCATACATAAATGAATATCGTTTAGATCCTATGCAGTTTCCCGTCTTGATCAGGGAGCAACCTCTGAGCAAATACTTCTGTATCTCCCTCAGTTAGTTCAAGCGATGAAATACGAACAGTATCCTCAAAGAAATATTATAGTATGGTTTTCAAGTAAAATATATCTTGAGTTCGTTTCTTTAGGAAGATGAAACCGCAGTCTCAATTGATGCTGTTGAAGTTTTGGAAAAAATTGACGAAGATGAGATAACTTCTCCGGAAACAGACAATCTCGCATACTTCTTGATGAAGTCTGCAGTTAACAATCATAAGATTGCTAATTTCCTCTACTGGTATCTCAAAGTAGAAGAAGAAGCAACTAAAGATTCCGATTCCAACATTTCACAGGTATCTCTGACACTTTCTGATTCAAAACCAACATATGTCTTAAGATGTATAACAGACTATCGCAACGATTACTTGAGGAGTTGGATAAGAAGGAAACCAAGGAATTAAGCCTCAGTCTGAAAGCTCAACAGGTACGATTTGTCAAAAACATTTTACCAATATACAGTTTAGCACTTTGTTGATGACCTTATTGTTATTACGGAGGAGGCGAAGAAAAGATCAGGCCGGAGAGATATTCGAGAATCCTCTCTGCGGACTTTATTGAGCCAAGCAAATCATTTAACCAAACTGAATAATTTGATTTTGCCATTAGACCCTACAGTGAAGTAATGAATTTATGAAGACAACACATAAACAGATTGATATAGATTGATCGGAGTTCTACCGGATTCAGCACAACTCTTCAAAAGTGCTATGGTTCCAGTTAAGTTGACGTTCAAAACAACAGACGCCACAGGTGGAAGACCTCAGGAATATACCCTAATTTTCAAGCAGGGTGACGACCTTAGGTATGTGAGGTATCACTGTTTTTACTTACCTTCTTCATGTAGGCAAGATCAGTTGATTATACAAATGATTCGTTTGATGGATTTGCTTTTCAAAAAGTACAATTTAGATTTGAAGCTGACTCCTTATGCGGTAGTAATTCTGGAATTATAACTAGTAATCACATTTTTAGGTTTTGTCCACTGGATTGAAACATGGTCTAGTTCAGTTCGTTAAAGGAAGGACGTTGCGCGAGATTATAAAAAAATATGAAGAGCACAAAGAACAAAGTATCAAAGTGAGATCTGTAGTATAGTTATTATAGTTACATTTACTATGTTAAGGAAGCAATGAAAGAGTACAGGCCCGACGCCAAAAGTCCTTTGGGTATCGAGTCCACTGTAGTGGACAATTACGTACGTTCTTTAGCGGGGTTCGTGAGAACTACAACCAGCAGTCTGGAAAAAAATGATTTCAGATACTCCATCGTTTGTTATGTGTTAGGAATAGGTGATCGACATTTAGATAATATACTTCTTTGTGAGAATGGAAAACTATTCCACATTGATTTTGGATTTATTCTTGGTCGAGATCCCAAACCTCTTCCTCCTCCTATGAAGCTCACAACGGAAATGATGAATCCATTGGGTGGAATTCAGAGGTTGTTTGAAATGTCTTGAATATATTTGAATCAGTATTTCAGTAAACAATTCCAAGATTTTTATATGTATTGTGATACTGCTTATGCAATACTCAGGAAACATTCTAAGGTTCTGCTCAACCTCTTCTCGCTGATGATCGATGCTGGCATTCCTGATATCGCTGTGGAAAAAGAAAAAGCAGTTTTCAAAGTTTGTTGGATGTTATGAAAATTAAGGGAAATGTGCTTAAGATCGAACAACGATTGAAGCTTGAGATGTCCGATGAAGAAGCTACTGGTCATTTGACTAGGGTCATCGATAGCAGTATTAGTGCGAAGCTGCACATAGTGTCAGACGTCATCCACGATTGGAAACAGCATTGGGCTTGGTGATGGAAAGCCGAAACATTGGCGGGATAGTTCAATACAGGTTATGTATATAGTTGTAAATCTCCTTGTATATTTTGTATAATACTTCATGAACAATAAAAAGTTTAAATATGCTTTAATGGTATGAAAGATCTTCGTTTAACGTATTACTATCTGAATCAAATTCGTCATTCAATAATGCTTCCCAGTCTGAGATATATAGTTTGTGTGATTGAGACACGACGCTGGGGATTTCAAGTTTAGGCTTTGTGGAAGCTGGGGGTGGTGGCGGTTTTACCGGTATGTTGTGAGTCTGTTCATTACTCATTGGGACAAGTGTAAGACCAGAATCATCACAAAATCTTGCCGATAATTCTCGGTCTTCTGGCAATTGTGGCAGTGTGGGCAGCGAAAATGTAACTCGAGGAAATACTAAGCCTCCTGGGTGAGCTTTTCGTACTGTTACTGGTTTGGTGAAGATTATAGAACTACTACCATTTGTAACTAATTTAGGAGACTTCGGTGGGGATTGTGGTGGAGGGCAAGTTGGTAGCGGTGGTGGGCTCACTGGTGTTGGGGTTACTGGTGGTGAAGGTTGGGGTGGGGGCTCGGGCCATTCCTCACTTGAACTGGTATCATCAACTGAAACTTCCTTATCGATAACGATAATAGGAGGAATGAGCTCAGGTTTTGGCTTTTCCTTTGTCTTCTCCATGTTAGGAGAATTTTGCTCATAGTTTTGTTGAGACTCGGTTGGAATGTGTACATCTCTTGTTTTACGGGGCGAAGTGGTTGTTGTTGTTGTTGTGGTTGTGACCTCTTCGAAAATTTCCTGTTAAATTGAAATATGGTATAAACGTGTGTATTTCAAAAAAAAACCTCTGTCTCCAAAAACTCTGCCAGTTCCATTGATATTTTGTTTTTTTTCGGTGCATTGTGTACTTTTTCCTGTAGAACCAAACTTGGCTGGGGAGTGATATTTCTTAAATTTGTTTCTGTTCGGAAGAGAATGAACTGAGCAAGCCTAACCTATAACCATCCAGCTCTTCGTATATGTGTTCTGAAGATAAGCTCTTGTCAGGTTCAGCGTAAACATGCTCTTCCACACGAGGCTTTGGTAACAAACTTAAGAGAGATTTGATTTAGAGTTTCTTTCTTCACTCACTTATTGGAGATTGTTGCCTTCCTGTCATGAATTATATTGGCATACCTTGGACTCTGTTAAGTGACATATGATAATGGAATTTGAGAATTCATTTACCGTGGCTGTCCTCAGTTCAAGATAATCGGACTTCGTTTTATCATTCCTAGTTGATAGTTCTGATATAAGCGAATCTTCTGATTCAGCTAAGGGTGAAAGCAAAAGTCCGTCATCCAATAGGAACTCGGTTTCTTCACTAAAAAATAATTAGGTTATAAAAATGAACATGAGGTTTACTCATATTTCAGCGATTGAGAAGCTTATGAGATATTATGAAATATTTTATTTTTCTGAATTTCTTTGTTTTGGAATCGCTGTTTCGACTACCCTTAGTAAAATGAACACACATGGAGGAATAGTTTATGCATCCAGAGAGATAGAGAGTGACAGAGTTCGACAATAATAATCAGCTCATTTCAAACGTGCGAATTGATAATATAAGATTTTATACAACTATTTAACTAATTGTTTAGTCTCCATGTAAACAGACATTTAAGGAGGAGATGATTAGGTGTATGTGTGTTTGTGCGTTTCATCTTCAGAAAATTTGGAAGTAAGATCAGAACGAAGTTTTTTCAAGAGTTTTGTTAGTAGAACAAGTAAGTTGAACTCAGATTCTTTGGAAGGTGAAGGAGTGGTTTAAGAAAAGTTATAATGAACGAATATTGCAGAAAACGAAGGAAAATCAAAAATGAAATAAGAACTAAGGGTAGTCATAGCGAACTTAAAGTTGTTAGATCATGCAAAGTTTTTCATTTGATATAAGCAAGTTAAGAAACTCTGAAAACAGAAACCAGCTGGAATTGTGTGAAATTATAAACTTAAGCTCACAATTGGGACACTATGTTGTCCATGATATCACGTGTTTGGTATAAAGTTGAGTGATGATCACGTGTGTTTGTGTGTTGAGGAACACCGTCAATGTAATTAGGGTCACGCTCAATAGATATAGATCGGGATTTCGGATCGTACGTAGTTCTCGCAACTTGAGTTCTTGAGCGCGACTGTCGTTCATCAGTTGGAGCTATATGATCTGTTCTTCTACTTTCAGGAGATTGGCTGCGATGATGGCGATGACTTCGAGGTTCTCTATTCGAGTCACGTTGCCGATAATGACTGTGAGATCTGCGTTTTCCATGTTCTGATAGTCTGTGCTCCTTATAGTCACTAGAACGTGGCGAGGAAACACCTCGCGAATGGCGATCATAATCACGGTCACGGTGGCGATTACTTCGGGAATCTCTTCCACTTTTTTCGTGACGTCTCGTGCTTTCTCGATCGCTATTGGTGTTTTCATATCTAGCATAGTCTGCTTTACGTGATGAGCGGTCGTCGTTCTTCTCCCTAGAACTTCTTGTTCTTGATTCTCCTTTATCCCTGATTCGGCTATCTGTATCATCTGCTCTGCTTCGGTTTTCATATTCTCGGCTACTGTAACGATCTGAATCTTCCGCTACATCCTTACGTGTACGTCGTATAGGTTCAACATATATCGGACTTTGAGGTCCAGGCGAAGGGAACACGTTGGTGTCGTTCAATCTGTTTGGTGTAACGGTTCTAATTTGAGCTAGCTGTGAAGGGCTTTCCCTCATTCGGGGTGCAGATAGGTAGGAAGTGGTTGATGGTGGCCTAGAACGATTGATTAACTGGACAACTCTCAGTATGTGGCGTACCTCAGCTCTTCATGTGAAGATGTGATAACTTGGTGTGAAAACACAGATGCTTCTGAAGGTGATTTGATCATATAAGGCGAAGTGGAACGGTTTTGCATCATAACTGGAGAAGAATATAGTCTGAAAAAATATAAAGTGAGGATTTGGGTGAGCTATGAAATCAACCTAGGATCTATAGAATGAACCATTGGAACGTGATATGTCTGATTAGATGGAGCAGGAGGAAGAGGTTGCATAGCGTCGGCAAAAGGCGATCGTATACCGTTATAAGGATCGTATCTGGAGAAAGTTTATGTTGATTTTTTTTTTCAGAATTTGATACCTTTCCGCTTGTTGAAGGTAACGATCGGCTTCTTCAGAGCCTTCTACTAAGTTTTCTTTCCATTGAACACCACGTTGACTCAATGAACTACTGGCAGTAACTGGCCTATCATTGATGAGCGTCTCTGTTCTATAAGTAAGCTCATGCTTTCCATTTCATGAACAGCTTACAAACCTATGGGTAGACCATCTTTCATAGTTCGGACCTTGGAGGCGTAGTAATTGTGGTCTATCATCAAGAGCGGGAACAGGAGGAGGGGGTAGTGCCACTAGTTTGGTAGGATTGGATGAATCAATCTGAATCGAAAGGTAATGAAGATTAGGCTTGAATTGAGTTACAGGTGTCCTGAACACTTCAACTGTGGTAGTCGTCGTGACTGTATCATTTATCAGAGCGTCTGTCGTTCCAGCTGTTTCCGCTCTTCTTAACCCGACCTCATACTTTTTAGGAGCAATTGCCTCCTAAATTCAATACTAATCTCTCAGATTGATGCAACATACCGGCTCAAAAATATTAAGGGTTATCCTAGAGGGAGTTATAAACTCATCCGGAGGGGAATCTCGGCCATCGAAGTGATAAACGGGTGAAGGAGGAGTTACAGGCCTACGGACAGGTGACTCATAACGTGAGCGACTTCCTTAAATTGAACAACATGAATGAATAAGAATTAACAAACATACTCTCATTCACTAAATTATCATGACTGCGCGATCGATATGAAACATCTGAATATAGAAGCATGCTAGCTTAATATTAGAAACCTTACCCGGTGCGTACTCGAAACGCTTCTCTATGTTGGTGTGCGCTGGGAGTGGACTGTGGTTGGAAATACGGGACCAACCTATCGTAAATGCGTGTATTCTATGTGGATATGAATTTATTCGTACTTGTGTTGATATTTTCTTGACTAGTTGAAGGAACCATTTGAATTGGATGAGGACTGGTTGCACTAACTATTCGAGTACCTTGGGGTGTTTCTACTATGGGTAATCGAGAAGGAGGGCCTACTGACCACATAGATCCTGACAGTTATAATAATTGAATAGAGTGTTGTATTTATTTTTATAATCTATTTAGAGAGCTCGAAAAGAAACTCTAACCTTGATTACTAGATGAAGAAGCTGCGCCTGTTGATGTTGAGTTATTTGAGAGAATCCCGCTATGAACAACAAAACCACTATGACTTCCATGGGTTGTTATAGTGGTTTTCATGTTGATAACCATCTGGCCTTGCGGAGCAGACTTCATGTTGCATCGAAAAAGAAGAGCCCTCAAATGATCAGAATGAATCAAAATAGAGAAAGATGATCAAAATGCGACCGCTATGTTCACGCGTGAAGTATTAAATGAGAAAAAAACAATGCTCATAACGAAGTGCTTTGGCCGACTTCAAATATACAACGTGAAAACAGAAATAGATGAAAAGAGAAATATGAAGCTCTCTATGCAAATAAGGCATGTGCTCTATTTGGCGTAAAGCAGAAGGAGCTTGGACTGTCATCTCGATCGTGGCCGTCTGGTGATGCGACACATTAAATCGATAAGACAAACGATGATAAGCTATTAAACATGGAGTGAGGACTATTTAAAGACGTTCAATAAAACATGAAGTAAATTTTGATGAGGGTTTTGTTAACGAATTCGCGAAATTTAGGATAAAAACTGGATGTAGTGTTTGCTTAACACTTTAACATAATAATAATAAGAATAATTCAGCTTATATAGAATATTTCTGTGCAAGCAGATATATATTGATGAGAATGACCATGAATCAACGTATATGTTGGTTTGATGGCCTGTCATGTATAACGTTCGGTTCGTTTCGCTTTTCAACTTTCGTTTGTAAATGGAACGAACTATGGAAATGACCATGGATGAATGAATCAGCCAATACGAGAAAAGATTGATCAGAGCAACATTTCGTCAAAAACATATAAAAAAATAAAACATGCAGTGTAAAGATAAATATTATAACAGAAATTGTAACTGAAGACGCAACTCATTTGATTCATGTGACCGTGCGTACATCGTTCCTTTAGCTCATTCTTTTCGTGTGTCATGTCGCTCTCCGTCGAAACTCCTCCTATCTCTCAATCTCTCTATCTTTCTTCATACCTCTATCTTCTTGTTATTTTCTACGCTATCTCCTTTCTTTACCTCATGTATTCTTATTATTTCTCTTCGTTTGAAGACTTTTTCTGTTAGCTTTTCAAGAATCAGAAGCCTGGTAGTAGTTGTCAGGTGCACGATGAGAGAAATTGTATCGAAAGGAAGAATAACCCCGAGGCAGAATGTTTCGCTCTCAGACTCAATATACGTCTCTACCTTATACCGCATTCATTCCATTTTCAGAGAGGAACGTGAGACGTTCGTATTTGCTTACCAGTATTGATATGTAGGTTGAAATGTGTTTTCTCGCAAGCTACAAACAAGAAAACGGAAAAGATTGAATAAATTCCACGACAGAAGAATAAAAAAAAGTTTATGCAGGAACGTATATATGCATTTCAGAAATAACAGATACAAGCAGATGATTAGCCAGAGATAAGTGTATGCAAATTTTTAAGACAAATCATTGGAACAACATGAAGAGGTGAATGAAGATGTTGGAGTGAACGCAATACAGATAACTAGCTTATAAAACAATATTTAATCCTTTTTTTGTTTATTTTAACAGAAATATTATTATTGTATTCTTCTAAAACAACATAACGGAGAGAATACGATGCCTTAGCGTAATACCTAGCTGGAGCATATTAAAGTATCCATGACAACAATGCTATGCGCAGTGTCAAGCGACCAATTAACAGATTATCATGGCCGTATTATGCAAATCTATCATGATTTCCAAAGCATTGAGCTATACCAAATATAATATTTGAAGAGAAAACAATCAATAACATGAAAAGAGATATGAAATTGAAGTATGAGAAGTATGTTGCCGTTCAATCGGAATTTCAACTAATCTCAACGCATACCAAGTATCAAGATGGATAGCTTCATAACTGTCGAAAGCAATATATATATAGAGAGAGAGAGAGAACATGAGAAGGTTTGTAGGTGATGAAGAGCATGAAACTTCACTAAGATATACGGTTCTATTTGATACATTTGTGTTTTGTAGTTCACTCAAGTACTGACACTTCTCACTGATATGTTACAACGTTCTTTCATTTATTTTCCGCTGACCGTTGCTGAACAGCTTTACAGAAGATAATCTCTGGCAACTCAATCAGCTATCAAACATCAGTCTAGGGGGGAAGTGAAAAACGGAGATGTTGACGGTGCCGGTTAGTAATACTACGAGTTTATACATAACACACACACACACGAAATTTTTTAATAAGGGAAGATTACACCCACACGTTTCGCAAAAAATATGGAAATAGAGAGTCTCTAGCATGTTGTTTCTTGATTGCAATGTTTGTAAGTATCCATACATCTGCGATTTCAAATGAAAGTGTTGTTTTCAGTTGACAGGAAAGAAATATGATTAAGTTGATTGAATTTATGACTTTTCTTACCAAAATAAAATTTTCAATAACTCCGAGATACTTTCAATCTCTATAGATGTAATTCAGACTCTTATAAGACCACGTTTGATTTGCAATTTGAAAAACAAATGACGTGGATTTTCCGCCAACTCGGGTATAATAAGCCATTTCGAGCGCCAATTGATTATTGATCGGTTTAACTCATCAACAACCGGTCGGGTAATTAGTTCAAATAAAGAACTGTTTTTTTATTTTCTGAGGATTATTCTATATTAATTAAAAAACTCTTTTCTACTAATGTGGTGGAACTGTTTGAAAGTGGAAATGCTTCTGACTAATCGTAAGTAAATGGCTTTCCATAGAGATATGTATCTATTTTAAAATGATTAAGGTATGCATGTCAATTAGATGTTAATGAAATCAATACTCGAACACTGGATTTGAGGACATGTGTCCCATCGGAGTAAAAACTGCGATTTCATAATTATAATTTGAATATTTCTAATTTTCAGTGAATCTACAACTTTCCCATGTAGAAACAATTTGCATAAATTGATAACCTATAACCGGGTTGGTGGATTCTGGTCAATTCAAAGACAAGAAGGTAGAGACGAAACGAAGACGAAGAATGCCGAGCATTACCGCATTGTTAGGTTGGTGTGTTTTTTTCGAATTAACAGCTAGGTTTGTACAACAACCATAAGCTGTCAACTATTGGTTATACTGTGAATTCCCACACATAGTTGAGAATTCTTTTTATGCGCCGCAGTTCTCCTATTTCCAACTCGTATCTGACTTTAACTCAGTATGCTCTACTAAGTTTTAAGTTGTGTTATTCTTTTCGATGACTGATTTGAGAATTAACAAACAGATTGGTGCATCTATTTGTGCGCACGAACTCTTTATCATTATTTAACGGTTCTATTACATGCTTTCCCTTGCATTCCCATTTACTCTCTCTCTAGTTTAAGCATCCTATTTCTGAGTCAGTTTCTTCTCTGTTTACATATTATATTGTGACCGATGGTAGAATAGAATGTCCATATTAGGGTCTTTCATCGTTTGTTGGTCCCGTCTTGATTCAATGTCTATCATCTATGTGGTATATTGTTCGTTGGATTGCTGTCAAGTATTTGGTCTAGTCAATCCTACAGACGCATTCGAGATTCATGTGCATCACTTTGTGCTGCATAGGTTGATCCATTTTTTTCTTTTCTACTTTCCACGCGAACAAGCTTATCACGTGCTATGTATTTTCATTGTCATAAGTTCAATGGTTTCATCGCTCTAAGCAGAATCTTTATTTGAACATTCCGGATAGTTATAACTGGTTCTTTTGAAAACAATTTTATTGAGCAGTCTTATAGCGTTATTTTTGCGTAAACTTATTAAAATATGGTTCAATAATGTGCAATTTTATATCTTGAAATCTTTGACCGTATTTATAATGTAGTAATTGGAACGTTTGGTTAACCTTAAAATGGACATTCGGAAGATATGGTATATTACAAACTAGATTTGTATTAACCATTTTATAATGAAGGTTCTTGTCCGCTTTAAGAACTTGATTAAAGATACAGTCTTGCATTAGTGTTTGTAACGCTTAAGTTCTAACTAGTTGAAGATGCATACATATAGCATCTTGTTATGGATGATCAACTGTTCATCATGCTAAGTTCTGCTTCCTATTAGTTAACAGTTCGAATTAATTAAATTATATCTTCATCCTGTTGATCTCTTGTTTGAAAATCTTCTTCTTCCTATTTTTTCTTTCTATTCAATATATTCTCAAGTAATCGATTTGTTTTCTCCCTCAGGTTATTACTTAATAGGTCATCGTGCCACGTTGTTTCTTTTATTGTGATTTCCGGTTCACCTCTAGCGCTATTGTTACAAGAGTTTATGTGAATACTTCATTCAAATTTTGTATGGAGTAAGAGATGCAATTGATTCACTTCTTTGATATATAAGCTTAAGTCTGTTGATGTTCTGTATAAAGAGGTCAAGCTGCAAATCACGGTTTTTTGAACAGAAAACAGTTCAAAGTTCTAACAAAACACTGTTATCCCGTTTTTGATATTTCAAACTTCACTATACTGTTTTCATGGCTCTTTTCTAGTTGTATTATTGTTACTATCAACCTCTCTCTCTCTCTCTCTCTCTCTCTCTCTCTCTCTCTCTCTCCTTCTCTCTCTTGTGTTGCTTTACCTCTCGTTAGCGTCCCTCCATCTCTCTATTATCCGTATAGGAGAGTGTTATTCCTCTCATAATTTGTATATTTATTTTTATTAGAAACTCGTAATATGATGTTTCGTTTTTCTCCTCAACCATTAGCAATTCTGCTTTTTTTCGAACTTTTTCTTTGTTATTCCATCACGCGCTCAAGTTCGTTGAACTATCCTGTTCATTCATGATAATGTCCTAACATTTGAGAACAAAATTGTTCGAACATCGTTATACTTCTATTCGGATTTCAATTTTGTGACCCAGGAGGAGTTGTGATGATGAAAATTAACAGAGTGATGATCAATAGTTTTCCTGTTCCGATAATTGGTTTTTCGTTCAGCTTGTTATCTCTTTGTTCATTCACTCTTGAGAATCAAAAAAAATGGAATTGTTCTAATCAAGTTTCTTTCATTTTTGAATGTTTTTTACTCCCATCGCCTCTCCTCCCCCGTATTCCCTCCAAATCCCTCTACTCATTCGCTAGTTCTAATGTCGGAGTCATCCATCCGAGTATAACTCTGAACAAATTGAAAGAGAGAGTGAGAGAGAAATGATTTCTCCTCTCTTACTGTTAAGATTGTCAGAGACGGTCTTTCTAACGCATTAAGAAGTTTTACGGAATTGTTCCGATTAATAAGTGTTCTATCCAGCTAAATACTGGCCGTATTTATCGCTTTGTAGATTTGTCATGCGTTTAACCTCATTCTAAATTACCTTTTATGGAAATAAGTCAACTACTTGTTTGACTGAAGATAGGCCAGGTTGCTAACTATTTTCGAAATTAATCGTTTATCCCCCTCATCAAACATCTCATCTCGTCTCCAGCGAGAAACGCTTTCTTAGAAGAACATGATAATTTATCTTTTAAATTCATTGTTTTTCGCTTATTTTCTCATACAATATATATCGTGTGTGGTGTATATGTGTGTCTGTGTGTGTGTGTGCGATGAACTTAGAAGCGTTCTCTTTGCCTGTTTTCTTTTTTCAACAAAAAAAAGAAGAGAAAACAGAGTGCAAATTAATGTTTTTAACATGACAATGTTGTATTATAGTTACTTTCTCTGCAACATTGTGTTTATCTTAATTCAACTTCTTTTTTTCTTTCATCACGTCATATCATGAGCTAGCTATCTAAGTTACCTACATGAATGAGTTGTTTCATTTGATCTACTATATTATTATAGTTCTTTCTTCTTCTCCTTTTTTCTATAATAATATTTGAAAAATATTATTGTGCAGCTATTATAATGATTTTCTTGAGTTAAAAGTTCAAATGGTTGATGAATCTAGTACAAGATACTATATGAGTAAGCTCAACATCTATCTCTGATAGATTAAAACTAATCTCTGTGATGCTTAGTTTTTGTTAATACTATCTATTCATGCTTCTCATTGCATTTATGTGGTGTTTGTCCTTATGTTAACCTCATAACTTGTTTCATATTTATTATATTCATGCAATAAGGTCTGTAGTACATGACTACACGTGCATAATATTATATAAAAATAGTTATACAAAGCATATCATACAGAGAAGAGCCAGAATTGAGTAATAGTAATAGCTTCTTCTAAACATTCATTTCATACTCTCAGAATTCACATTTTATTACTATTTCTATTGTAAAATCTTGTTATGTTTCTTATCGTTCATATAGAGCCTGTTTTTTTATTAAACATTATACGTTTCATCAGAAAAAAGGACCTTCGAACATATTTTAATTCTTGCTGCCACATATTGTTCTTCATCGTCTCGAGAATGACATGTCGAACACAATTCTGTTATATGCATCGTTATTAGAACAGTTGCGTTCAATCGCCGCCATCTTCAGAACAGTTACATTCTCAATACTCTTCGTCCTTACTGCGGTTTTATTCTTTCCATTCTCTCATACTCATAGCACGGTTGCATTCCGACAATCCTCAGTCCTTGAAACTGTAGAGTTCTTATGTTCTGTCTGTTCCCAAACACAGCCTTCTTTTCAACTCTACTCCCCAACAAACTACTCTGAGCTAGCTATCTAACCTCTCTCATTTTATTATTTCTTTTGTTTCTCAATAAGTAAGAAAGTGTGCAAGTCAGATCAAATCTGGTAATAAGCAGCTGACCGTGTGAATCAAGCCAGAAATCTTATTTAAGGCCCATCCTATGTCATTGTAAGTACCGCAAAATCCCATTTTGTTACTTCTATTCTCAGCTTGAGTTAACCATTCTAAGGCGTCTATCGTCAATTCATCCGTCTGTCTGCAGAATGCAGACCGGCTGTTCTGGCCATTTAGCTTGTCTGCCTGTCTATTCTTCTATTCATTCATCTCATCTCACTTATTTTCACAGCCGTACCAGAAAGCTATTCGAATCCTGATGCCATTCATTGATCATTATGCAAATGAGTTGAAGCATAGAACGCAGTAAATTAGCAATAATGAGTAGTTCTAGTTGACATTTTTTCCTGACTTGAACCGTAACTTTCTTGTTTTCTGTCATCCTTCAAAAAGATTTCTCCACCTGCATGTCTGGGCAACCTTGTTCCCAAATGTTGAGCACATGCTATTGTATTATACACACACACACATACATATATATGTATATTGTTTCGGTCATTGGCAAGTATACGCTGGCACTTTACATAACTATTTGTGATTTTATCCTCGTGTCTGTTCTTAATACGCCATTAACGGGTCGCCCTCCTGCTCAGGCTGCTGAGCTGGGTTAGACTATTGATATAGAATATATGAAAGATATAAACAATAGTTTTCTAACTCAAGCTAATATATTCGTACTCTTCTTTCTATTTGATAAGCAATAGTAGTAGTAGTAATATATGAAAACTGTATATCTATGCATATTTCATGTAGTTCTATAGCAATTCTATCATCTGTATCAATAATTGGGAATTCAGTTTTATGAAGAACTTAACGTTTCATTTATTGAAATTACGTTGACCATTTTATTGTTCACACGTGATTGCTTTTACTGAAATAAAGGAAGTGTACAAACTTCCTATTTCTCGCAATTATGTTCACGTCTTATACCATATTCGGATATGGCAAACAATTATGCGGGCAAGCATCTAATGAGGTCATCCTGCTTTCTGACTGGTGACCAGCAGTCGGTACCAGCCATAATCAATCAGCTACAGTTATTCTTATTTTATATCTTCTTAATCTCTTTTCTTCTCCTGAGCTCTTCTTTCATTGAATGTCTCTTTCTTCCTGTCTTCCTTCTCTTTTTCCATCCATCTCAATTTTCGTAATAGTATTTCTCTTGCCTCTCCGGTTGTATGACCATCTCCACATCCTACAGATGGATACACGCTTGTTTGTTTGTTCTTCTAATTCAGTCATCAGTCAAAGGCAATCGGACGTATAAATAAAAAATATATATCTTTTTTCGTTGAGCTATTGGACTTTGCGTAATTGTTTTATTTTTTTTCGCAACTTCAGCTTGAAGGCATTCGAAGGGGCTACTGGCTCATTTTCCCAACCCTTTTTAAATGTTCAAAGAAATGCTTGTTCCAAACACAAATAATATGTGTTGTTTGTGAATACTTCAGTTACTCATGCCCTGCTATGAATTATTCACTTGTCTATAGTTTTTAGCAGTGCTAGTACCGAGCACTGAAAGCCCTGACGGTTGTGTTTTTGTATTTCGAAGTTTTCGTTTTTTGCTCTCACTCTCATATTCCCGGATTAATGACTGCTAATTATAGGTAAAAGACCACACTCTCGTGCTCTCATATTTCATATATGTTTGTGTCACTTTTAGTTACATTCTGTAGTGAACTACTAGAATTCTTTAGATTATTAGAATCGAATTGCTGAAAGAAAGTATCCATCTGCCTCATTTTCTAATTATAACTTACTTCTTTGACTGAACAGAGAGACATTAATTGGACAAAAGTCCTACTTGATAAAGTCTTCCTCATTCTTAACTCTCATTGTTGTTGTGTTAATTACCTTTTCTCTCACCACGACGACGTGCCATTTCTTGATTTCATGCTCAACAGTCTTTGAAGAATAGATGCTTGAGTTGCAATCCTTAGTGCTTATGTATTATGCGAACAAAATTAGGAATCTAAGTGCGCTCTCGAATATTATCACGAAATCCCTTAATAGGCGTTTCAGTTGAATGCTGTTGCCAACTTATGTTATTCATAAGAGGCTTTGGAAATTAAGCTTCTTCGAAATTAATTAATTCGTTCATCAAAATATTTAAGTCATTTAATGTTATTTCCGAGACAGAATGATATGCACAACTCTCATGCATCATCTCAGATGTTTGAGTTGTGAGACATCTGCTTCTGATAATAGTAGTAGAGAACAGTATAGCTTAGTGTGTCGGCTTCGTTTCCGATTTGTTTATAGATTGTGTTTAGATTTTCTCCAGAAGTAACTAATTTCGCATGATTCTAATGCTTTTATCTGTCTCATATATCTGAATTCATTCTAATCGTAAAGTCGTCTACAGCTCTAGCGTCTTCGCATGTTAAATGTTGAGTGTGGCCCAAAATTCTAAGACAATTTGCCCTTAGTTTCGCTACACCCTCAGGGTGTGTGAGTGATGAAGAGAGAACGCAAATGTATAGCCTTAGAAAGAGTTGTGAAGAGAACGGAGTAACTAATGAACGAGAGAAAGAGAGAAAGCGCAGATAGAATTGAGGCATGCAAGGGCAGTTAGCCTCAAACCAACCGCCATCTGAGATGGCGGTCACTAACTAATAAAATCGGTCTTGGTGGCAATAACAACACTAGTAGAATTGATTTTCACGGCTTTTCATAAAAACTTTTAATATTTTTCCAGCATTGCCTACTAATCTCAGTTTTTTCTCCATTTTCTGTAATACTGTGCTATCCGAGTTTTCGAGTTTCTCATTTCATCTATTACAGATCTTTGGATTATGAGCTTGGTTGAACCGGACCTTGTACTATTACGTTGTCCCGAATCAGTATCAACCGCTTCAGTGCAAAGAGATCAGAATCAGTCAGCTTCTGAAACCGATGATTCCCAGTCAACATCTTCAGTGGATAGTGGACATGTGTCAGCTGGATCATATAACCATGTTAGTCGATGTTTGCGGATTAATTGAAATACGTCATTGTTCAGCATCTTTCGGTAGAAAATGAGCCTTTAATTGAAAACGAAGAAACACTGCAGTTATGGAAAACGAATAATCTCGCGAAGATGGATAGATCCATGAGCAAAGGTATATTTGATTATTGAACCTTGAATTAATATCTGAGAGCTCAGCTTCACTTACATCTACATCTTCTGCATCACTTTGTCGGATATGCCACACGGAATATGTGTCAAGTCGAGATCCATTTGTGTCACCTTGTCGATGTTCCGGAAGTTTACTCTACGTTCATCGCAGTTGTTTAGTGGTTAGTGATAAGTGAATGTCGGAGCAATAAAGTTTGGTCTTTATAGCATTGGTTGGAGTTGTCAACAAGAAAGTTCATACCTTCCCCACAATGCGAATTATGCTGTTATAATTATAAAAGAGGAGCATGTATAAATGTGAGTTGTTCGTGAATTATGAGCTATATATGGTTATATTTGGATTCTGATGAGAATTGGATTAGAGAATGGCGTTTGAATAACAATTTTATTCAGACGCCTTATAAATCATATTCCAAAATTGTTTATCCATTGTAACACTAAGCCTTATTGAATCGAAATTTTTTCTTTTCAGTTGAGAAGTTTACATTTTCCTTCCCTCGGATATCGTGACCGATTGTTGAACCTCTTATTTCTGGCCTCAAGCGTCCTGATGTTTATGAGTGCTGCTATTGGTTTCCATTTTTTGCTCATGGCCGATAAGTATCAAACTGCTTTTAGGTAACGCTTATCACTGATATTATCTCATTAATGTCTTCATTATAGAAATTTCCGCTCCGTTTCGGCGAACTTGAACTATGAAGACATATCTATAATTGTATGTGCGACTCTGTTTTTCATAAGCTTCTTCACTGCTGTTTTTACCCAATATAGGTAGAGCAGTCTTAGGCTGACTATCAAACAATCAACTCTATTTCAGAGCGGAAGCCTCTGTGTTTCGTTTGATGTTCCGATTTCTTGTAATTAATAGCAATTGGACAATCAGAAACTACGATATTAAGTTGGAAAATAATATTAAACCAGTTTAAGTTCGAGCTTTCAGAGATGATCCCGAAATGCTTGCTATCCGGCAGGCTCGTGCTGATGGTCGTGTTGCACCATCATTAGTTGGAATGAAAGCAAAGAATGGGCCTAGCGATCAAGTACCTTTCCCTCTGCTATTTAGTGGAGCCATCGTATGATCATCACTGGATGATCCATGACTATCATATTGAAGAAGTTTACACATCATGTATGATGTTAGGAGAGTACTTCGTCTATGAATTAAGTTCTTTTTCTTGGACGTATTAAACGAAAACCTTTCTTATCTCATTTTTTGCTATCTTTTATTTCAAATATCATGGTAACAGTTGTTGTGTTCATGCCGTTCGTACACAAAAGACGGAGGAAACGCACACTCACCTGTTTAACCTAAAGAAAAAATTATCTTATCAGTAGTAAAATATCCTACGGGTAGTCTGATATATATATATATATAATTATATATATATTTTCATTTTATTTTACGGCTTTTTGAAGTTTTGAAAACTGCATTTCATTAGTTACGAAGCGGAACTTTGTTTTTTGTACATCTTTTCCTTATATAGAGCCTCATCTACATATTCTCAGGTACTTCTAACTGTATGAGTTTCTTTCTCTTTGTCACTTCTGTCTGTGTGCCTTTCTTGCCAATAAATTGTTTTTTTTCTCTCAATTAGTTTTGTCATCAAATGTGATTTCGATAACGAATTCCGGCTAAGCACATTTTTATCTCATTGTCTTCTGAAACTAACTTATTAGCGATATTGGAGGACATTCAATAGTTCGCTCGCGATCAGTTTCGAAAAGCAAAAAGTGTGTCTTTCCAACATTCTCACATGGTTTCTCTTTCATTTAATGATGAGCTCATAATTGAAAATCAAAAACAAAAGGTTGAAAGCTCTCACTTTCTATTCAGCATCACAGCTGTCTCAGAGAATCTATAACCTTCGGTTCTTTTTGTTGTTCACAATCGATTGTAGAGAGAGATTCGAACGAAACAACTAACTGTTTAAGTATTCGGTTTTTTTCTTTGAACATCACATTTTTCAGAATGCTTTCACGACTATCACCCAAATTGAGCCAGTCTATTGGTTCCTCTAGTGCCCATAATGCTGCAGCCGCTGCAATCCGCACACACAAGATCCCAGGAAAAAGAGTAATTGCTAAAACCTATCTAAATGTTAATTAAAGGCATAATTCAGGAACCACAAGCCAAGTATGGAGGTCGTCACACTGTAACACTATTGCCTGGTGACGGTATCGGTCCTGAAATGCTTTTACATATACGAAGAATCTTCGGATTTTCAAATGTTAGTTGAAAGCGATTGCTGAAAATACTTACAGCTTATAGGCTCCCATCAACTTCGAAGAAGTGACACTCAGTTCTAATTTAGAGTTGGGAGATATGGATGCAGCTATGATGGCTATAGAACGAAATGGAGTAGCCCTGAAAGTGCCTTAACTCTCTGTACTTCATTATAACACATATAGTTAAGGGTAACATAGAGACGAAGCATGATAATCCCATATTCAAATCTCGTAACGTTGAATTACGTTCTCGTCTTGACTTGTATGCTAACATTCTACACTGCGTAACCATACCTACAGTGCCCAGTAGACATAAGGCAAGCTTTCATTATCCGTTCTCAAGTCATTTGGCGAATTCAGGACATAGATATTGTACTGATCCGTGAGAACACTGAAGGAGAATATTCAGGTTTGGAGCACGAAAGCATTCCTGGAGTCGTTGAGAGTATAAAGGTAGTCTAACTGACAATATTTAATATTTCAAAGTATTCAGATTGTTACTCGTGACAAAATTGAAAGGATTGCCAGAATGGCATTCGAGTATGCTCTGCTTAACAACCGTAAAAAAGTTACAGCTGTTCACAAGGCTAATATTCAAAAACTGGGAGATGGGCTTTTCTTGCAGGTACAGAGAAATCACCCAACAGATACCCAGGATTTTAGGTTGTCCGAGATATGGCAAAAGCTGAATACCCATCTATCGAGTTTGAATCCATGATAGTTGACAATGCCTCTATGCAACTGGTTCTGATCTTCTATATATGAAAAATAACATATATATTGAAGGTATCGAAACCACAGCAATTCGATATCATGGTCATGCCGAATCTGTATGGAAACATCATTTCTAATATTGCCTGTGGGCTAGTCGGTGGACCTGGCTTAGTTTCTGGCATGAACTTGGGAGTGAAATATGCTGTTTTCGAAACAGTAAATCGACTTTCAAAACTCCAACAAACCAAAGAATTTTAGGGGACGAGAAATACAGGAACATCATTAGCTGGCAAAGACTTAGCAAATCCTACAGCATTCATACGAGCAAGTGTAGATATGCTGAGGTGAGTTACCTTTTTTCTAAATTAGCGCAAGAAATATTTTAAGATATTTGGGTTGCCACTATCATGCCAATTTAATTTCTGATGCTTTATGGATGTCTCTGGTAACCCAGCAAGTTCATACGAGCGACGTAGGCGGAACAGCTAAGGTAATTTCACAGTGACCTATGAAGCAGATAATTTTATTCTAGACAAGCGAACTCATCGACACTACTCTTAGGAACATCGAGCAGCTTATGCAAGATCCTACGAGGAAATAATTTCATTACAAAAATATAAATAGGATGTCTTACGTACACGTCCCGTCAATGTTCAGCTATTCAACGGATTTAGAATAAATAGTAAGGTACCGTATGTATCCTTATATCATATACAATATATAAATAGTGTTGGAAAAGGTAGTACAGTCGGCCAGTCAAAATCACTAATTCACCACGATTCTTGTCTTTGAACTTTCAGAAGCCTTTCCGCATTTTGTACTGAAGTTACTGTCGTGTTATTAAACCGCTTATGTGTATCATCGAATAGAGCTCATTGAATCTGTTTTTTTTGAAGGTGAATGTAAGATATTCAGTTTGTTTGACCCGTGTTCTGAACTCTTCTGTTAAATTTATAAACCAAAAACACACTCTGATGCGAATTTTTCTTGACTCGGGAACATATTATCTCATCGAGCTCAAATCTATATAACATAACTATATGATCACGATATCTGGAGATTCTGGAAATCATCCTATCAATTTTGAGTTGAAAGTACTATGGCGTTTGGACATACGCGCGATGCGCTACCAACGCTGCTCGTTTGTGAACTAAGCAAACTCATAGGATATACGGAGCAAGACGCGATGGGGGCGTTGTGGAAGTTAACCATTAAACTTACCTGGCTGGGAGTATGCCACGATCATCAAGGTGGGATCTCTA